TGCGTGGTTAAAATTACGGTAGGCGCCAAGCCCAGGTGGCAGCGGCCTTGTTACCTGGCAAGCTGAGTTGCAAAATGCTGTGTTGGAGAGGCTGACCTGTCCGTGCTATTTCTCTCTTCTTTCCTTCCTTCCTTCCTTCCTTCCTTCCTTCCTTCCTTCCTTCCTTCCTTCCTTCCTTCCTTCCTTCCTTCCTTCCTTCCTTCCTTCCCAGGCCTCCTGAAAAGCAATGGCCGCTGCCTCACCCCTGACCATCTCACCCTCTGAACGGAAGGTCCCCTTCGGCATCGCAAAGTCTCCCGGCTGGCCGCCACTCCCCAGCGTCGCCATGCATGTCACCCGGCCAAAATCCGCCAAGGGGCGCACCCGGTCCAACCTGAGCTATTCCCAGAGCCTGGGGGCCTACTCCTACCAAGTGCCATCGTCCCCCCAGCCGGTCGCCACCCCTGGGGAGGAAGAGGTCAGTGGCCGGAGGGCAGCCTCCTCCCAGCCCATCCAGGCGCTCCCGGCCGAAGTGCCGGACCTCCTCCAGCAGGTGCCCACCAGGACCTCATCTTCCCTCAACAAGTACCGGGTACTGCCGTCCATCAGCAGGAAGGACCGGAGGACAGGCACTGCTGAAGTGATGTCCGAGCAGGCTGGTGAGCTCCCAGCCAGTGCCCAGGCGGCAGCAGCAGCCGAGGAAGAACAGAGGTCCCAGGATCCTTCTCTGCTGAGGGGGCCCACACCTCTCCTGCTGGAGCACAAGGGGGGCGGTGGAGAGCACCCCCAGCCCCCCTTTCCTGCCTTGGAGAGGCCTCGATCGAATAAAAAGAGGGAAGGAAGTTCTCCCACCGCACTGACCCTCAATCTGGAGGAGCCCGGTGAGGAGGAGCCCCGGCTGCTGCTGGCCATCCGCTCGCCTTCGGGGGAAAGGTTCGAACGCTACTTCCGGCCCACAGACAGCCTGGAGACGGTGGTCGCCGTGGCCGAGCAAAAGAACGCGGCCGCCTACCGGCGCTGCAGGATCGGGACGGTGGAAGTGCCCCGCAGGACCTTCTCGGACCTCAGCCGGTCTTTGCAGGACTGCGCCATCCGCCACAAGTCCGTGCTGTGCATTCTGCTGGACAAGCAGGAGGGGGCGCTCTGAGCAGGAGTGTGTCTGCCTCCCATTAAACCCCCCTGGAAGGAAACTCAGCCCCTCCCAGCCTCCGTCCGCTCCTTTAGACTCAGCCGATGCCCCTCCGGAAGGGGGGCGGGACACTCGCCTTCACTCGCCCAGGTCCCCCTGCTCAGCCCAAAGGGACGTCAGTCGGCCCCTTTGAGGGGCTCCCCCATCTGCATTCCAGCTGGTAGGCAGAGGGTTTTATATTCAGGGGAGTTCCTTCCCTTCCCCGATTCAATTTGATTTGAATCCAGAAGAGTGGTAAGGAAACCAGGGCCAGCAGGAGCTCCCCACACTGTGCCTTTTGCTGCAGATTCTCCCTTGCACAGCTTTGGTTGAAGGTGCGGATAATCCATTTTTGGGGGGAGGTGGGGGGGAGGTTTTTGCACAAGATACAAAGACTGGCCCTGTCTGAGGGGAGGCTGGGGCCCCGATGATGCCCCGTTTCAAGGCTTCTGCTCCGTTCTGGTGAGGGGTGGCTGCAGATAAAGACTCTTGAACACGCTCAGCCTTCCCAAGGTCTGTTACTGCATTTTTAATCAAATTTCTTTTACGAGATTATGCCACAAATTAAGTCTGGAAGGATCCTCCCCGAATGGGCTCTGCCTCCAGTGTAAATTTGAAATTCAGTGTTGTTTCTGGCAATAATTTCAGAGCTCCTGCCGAAACACAGTCATGGATGTGTGTTTGTATTGCGTATCGAGGTCTTGAGCTCTGCCTGGGGGGGGGGGGGGNGGGGGGGGGGGGGGGGGGCTTTTCCTGAAGAGCTGCTGCTGCTGCTGCTTTTTGAACAAACAAATCAACCTGTTTTGATTAAGAGTGGCCTGTTTGTGTTATCAAAATGCCATTTTTTTCCTCAAACTGTATTTGAATGTTTTAAAGAAAAACATTTCTCTGTCTGCAGGCAGAGTTCGAACTCTCAGTATTCTCTCACAAAGAGACCTGCTTAACAGAGAGGACAGCTTGCCAAAATCAGTCCGCCTTCCGAGTGTTGATTTCTTAGCCCAGACAGGCCAAAGGACGCTGGGAGGCAGGAGGAGACTTTCCCAGGGCGTGGAAGCCTTGAGTGGTGGTGGTGTCTGGCCTCCGTCCAGCTGACCTGGGAGGGGGGGTCAATTCAGCAGAGCACCCCAGGGGCCACTCTCTGGGCTCCCTTCCCAAGATCAGCCTGTTGCGGCCACAGGGCCTGCTTTCTCCTCCCAGGGTCCATGGAGGGGGGGGACACCCAGCCCGGAAGGTCAGTGCTGGGAAGGGGGGCAGCTCACCTTGGCCTGGCCTCCTTTGAGCTGCTGGGGGACGGTGACCAGGTGAGGCTACTTGGCATCATGGCATTGCTGGGTCAAAACGGGCAACTGGGAACTGTAGCCATCTGGAGGCCACCCAGTTGGGGGGAGCTGATAGAAACAGCCCCATTCATTTCTTTAATGGGGGGGTGGAAGAGAAAATTCTGACCACAAGATCGGGTGCTGGTTTTTATGTCTCCCGTGCTCCGGCACAGACCGCATGAAGCGATTTTAAAAACCTCCTGGGCAAACAAACCCAAGTGGATCTCCTAGGGGAAAAGGGGTGGACCCATTTGTGGGAAGGGGAATAGTGGCTCTTCTTTTTTTTTGCATTCAGTTGGGGAAATTGGTCACCGCAAACCCAGGGAAGATATTCTGAGGGAGAATATGCACACGGACACACGAAGGACACCGGCAGGTGCATTTAACCCTAAATATTTGGGCCACAGCTTTGATGCCTGGCTTCAGTCACCCTTCCAGTTGACGGAGCGAGCACGGGAAGATGGGAGGCGTAAAAATTTAATTAATAAAAAGGCTGCATGAAGGGGGTCCCTCAGCAGCACAGCTCAGCAGCTCAACCAGGGACCCCCAAAGTGACAGAAAGGCCAAAGGAACACCTAGCGGGCATCAGCTGTTGTTTATTTTATTCCAATTAAAATGCAAGTGCCATGACAACAAACTTGGTTTTAGTCTTTAGGGAGGGCCTGGCTCTCGCCTGAGAAGGCCAGGTACCCTCCTCAATTTAAAAATCCCCCCTGGCTCGGCAGGAGGAGGGAAAGGGGCGCCTTCAGCCCCCTGAAGAACCACTGCTACGAATCACGCGGGAGACAGCCGAGGCTGGGTGTCAAGAAGTCTCGTGCGGTCTTTATTCTAGCTGAGAAGTTACATCGGAAAGCAGCCCTGGCTGCCTCTCCCATCCCCCTCTGGGCCCGGCTCGCGTGGTCACCTGGTGTGGCCAGAGTGGGCCGAAGACTCCCTGCCACGTGCAGCCCACGCCTGCCTGCTAGCTCCCGTGGAATAAAAATAAGTATGCCCCAGCATACAAAATCTATGGACAGCTATGGTTTTTTTTAAACCCACCTGACCCCCCCACCCCACACTCCCCAAACCCCCCTAAAGCTGTGGACAGAAACTGAGGAAGAGGCTGCGCACAAACATCCTAAAAATTTAGGTACATTTCTAAAACGAGCAGGGCGCCCATGTCCTGTTTTGCATGAGAAGAATCCCCACCTCACTCCCAGCTTCCTCTAAAACGCAGGGATTAAAAACTCAACATTCTCAATCAATCGACTCAGAAAAGGGTCCTGTATCAAGCAGGAAGCCAGGAGCTCTTCTGCCCCCACCCCCACCCAAGCCTGAATAAAAACACTCTTAATTCTACAGTGCCAGAGAGAAAGAGAGAGAGAAGAAGAAGAAATCAGATCCAGCCCTCGCTGCGCCTGTCCGAGAATGCCACGGCGGAGCCCAGAGGAAAAGGCAGCCTCCGCTGAGCCTCCTAAGCCACCCCCAAACTTAACACCATTTGGGGTCACTGCAATTGTAGGCATGATCTCTGTCCCCCCCTCCCCCCCAAGAAGCCAAATCAATTTGGTAGCAACCAACAACACACAAGACAACCAAAATGCACACCGGTGGCCTGATGCCCCATCAACGGTGGGCGGGGAGAGGGACTTGCTGGGACGCGGGGAAGAAATGAAGACCCAATTAAAACCTGGAGCTCCTTATGAGGAAGCCGATGCCCCTCAGCCCTTCGGGGGACACCCCTGCCCCTCCGGAGGTGAAGCTATAAACCCGCCTGCCTGCCTGCCTGCCCACCCTTCCTTTGCAACCCACAGGACTTCCTCTGGGGGCCCCAAAGCAGAGATTTAGCTCAGCCTTACAGCACCCACAAACACGTCTCCCATTGAGCCAGTCCTCATTTCTGCCCAAACCTCTTATTTTATCTTCCCCGTCTCTATTTGGAGCTGAGGAGAGTTCCCTCTAGACGTGGGTCAGCATCAGCGCTCTTCTTCCCCCCCACCAGGCTGTTCACGAAACGGCCTCTTTCTCTCCCGAGGGGCCTGTGAAGTCCTGTGAACCTGCCCAGGTTTTGGATTCCCTTCCCCACCACCCCCGAAGAGCAAGCCGGCGTCTCGAGACCCCCACGTGGGATTGCAGCTCTCGGGAAGGAGAAAAAGGATAAGAATGAAAAGACAGGCAACCATTCCATCAACGGGGGGGGGGGGGGGGGGGGGGNGTGGGATTGCAGCTCTCGGGAAGGAGAAAAAGGATAAGAATGAAAAGACAGGCAACCATTCCATCAACGGGGGGGGGGGGGGGGGGGGAGGGAATCAGAAAACAAGCAGTGATTTTCCTTGAGTAAAAATGTCAATCTCTGCCCACATCACACATTCCCATCAGGAAACTAGCCTGGACATTTGCTCTTCTCTTTGAAGTGTAAAAAAAGGGGAAAAAAATCATAAGCTTTAGCTATTTGTCTGTCCAATCGTCCACGTACTCCTTTTAGTCCTGCCTCTCTCTTCACAAAACAGGCATTAAAATCCCTTCTAATTATTGGCTACTTTTCTTTTTTTTTTGGCATCGTTTTCATAATTGAAGAGGTTCCCCCACTCTTAAGGCTAAAACTAAAAGAAAAAAAAGCAAAAAGTTACTGTAAACATTTCTTTGAGAAATGTGTCTTCCGTTCTCCAGTTTGCACAAATTTGGAAATTAAAGTCCAGCCGCATTGTTGTTGGTTTAAGGTAATTTCTGCAGCGCTTGTGATCTTGGGGGTCGCCCCACTTCGCACGTGGCTGGTGAGGAGACGCGCCCGTCGGGACGGCGTGCCAATTTTGGATGGGAGAGCCACGGGGCGGAAGGCGGGCACGCCCATCCCCTCGGCTGCCCCCTTCAGTTAGCAATTTTCTCAATTTCATCCAAATCATCTGTATCCAATTTATGAATCTTCTTGTCTGCAAAAAAAAAAAAAAAAGCAGCATTGTCAGGAAAGATTCAGAAGCCTGTAAAACAGGAACCGGTTTGGTTCTCCGGTGATTCGTGGCCCAAAACAGACATTTAAGTTAACTCACAAAAGTCACAGAGTCTGAGTTGCCGATGACCCTTAAAAGTCCCTGAACCCCTCCTCTTCGCATGCTACTGAATATGTAATAATGTAATATTCTGGATTAAATTATTTAATGGATACAGAGCAGGCAGTCTCCAAACTTGGCCCCTTTAAGACTTGTGGGCTTCAACTCCCAGAATTCCTGCTGGCTGGGGAGTGAAGCCCCCCTCCCCCCCAAGGGCACAACCAGACTTTGGTGTTTTACACGAGAGGCCCAAGGCTCCAGGCCAGAGAGACGAAGCTTCGCCCCGGAGCCCGGACCGTTTTTGGGGACTCACTGAAATGTTCCTGGATCCGGTTGAGGATGTTCATGCTGTGTTTGCTGTCCACCATGTTAACGGCCAGCCCCCGCTTGCCAAAGCGCCCCGTGCGGCCGATGCGGTGCAGATAGGTCTCGTTGTCCGGGTTGCCGTCTTTGTCCACCGGGAGGTCAAAGTTTATCACCACAGAGACCTGCTCCACGTCTATGCCTGGGGAGGGAGTTTGTCATCGCGGTATTTAAACTTCTCCTCTGCCGGCTTAACAGACCGACCCGACGCTCCACAACTCTGCGTAGCTCACAATACGCCACAACCAGACATAAAGTGTCCCCTTCTCTTTGGACTGAGCGGCCTTTTCTAAGAGCCACCGGAGGAGGAGACCACAATCTCCCAGGTCCCTTCCAGCTCTCTGATTCTGGACTCACCTCGGGCGCAGACGTTGGTGGTCACCAGGACCTTCTCCTTGCCCTCTCTGAAGCGCTCGATCACGGCCGCCCGCTGCTCCACCATCATCTCCCCGCTCAAGAGGGCAACCTGGTGGCCTTCTTTGGACAGCTCCCCCGCCAGCCAGCCGGCCGTCTTGCGGGTCTGCGGGAGGGAAGGGTCAGCAAGCGAGGGGGCTCCGGGAGGGACGGGGCTGGGGTGCCGCCCGGCCCACCACCCGGCCTGGCCCGGCCCTCACGTGGCAGAAGATCATGGCCTGGGCGATGGTGATGGCCCCGTAGATGTTGCAGAGGGCGTGGAACTTCTCCTCCCGGCTGCTGCAGAGGACGTAGTACTGCTTGATGGTGTCCAGCGTCTCCTCCTCCCTCTTCAGCTTGATGATGTTGGGGTCGGGAACCACTTTCTGGGCAAACTTCCACACCGAGTCCTCGAAGGTGGCCGAGAAGAGCAGCATCTGGCAATCTCGGGGAAGCATCCTGGGGGGGGGGGGGGAGAAAAACAGCCAGACTTGGATCCGCCGCCCTGGCATTTAAAACCCTCCCAGCAACGGCTTTCTGCTTCTGCCAAGTATATAATGGCTTTCCGCTTCTGCCCTCCTGACCTCTGGATGCGGATGCTCTGGTCCTGGTGCCCCTGGGTGGCGATCATGACGTCGGCCTCGTCCAGAACAAACACCCGGATCTTCTTGGGGTCGATGAATCTGAGCTTCGAACACCAGTCCAGGACGGTGCCTGGCGTGCCAATGACGATCTGTTCGGCAATCTTCTGGCCACGCTCCACTGTTGGGGGGGGGGAGAAGAGGATGTGACCCCCTTGGGGAGCTTGGCCCATCCCGCCCATCCCACAGCCCCAGACCCCTCCCCACTCTCGCACTGGAGGGACCCCACTGATGGCAGAGACCCGAAAGGTCACCCTCTCCGGCTCTGTCCCGGCAAGGTGCCAGGACAGGGAGAGAACCAGTTGGACACTCACGCTTGTTGCCCCGGACGGCATAAGCCAGCTTCAGCGCAGGGTAGAACCGGCCCATCTGTTCGATGACCTTCCCAGTCTGGAGGGCCAACTCGTACGTGGGGGAAAGGCAGAGGCACTGGAGGGGAGGGGAGAAGAGGGAAGAAAATCAAAAGAGCGAAAAAAAACTCTGTCCAGTCTGCCTTTTCAGTGCCAGGGCCGGCAGCCAGCGCATCCACCTCCCCGACTCCCCCGTCTCTTCCCAGCGGTTGGAACCGGCTATGGAAAGTCCCCAACCTCAGGGGAGAAGGCCGAGGGCTGAAGGCTGCTGACCCCTGCCTCAATCTCTGCCAGGAGCAAATCGCCCTTGGCAACCCTCTGACCACACCACCCCTCGGCTCAGGGGCCCCTCCAGCCCCTTCCCCCAATCAGGGCTGGTGATGGAGGCTACCTGGGGATGCTTGTGGTCCGGCTCCACCCGGCTGAGCATGGCCAGGACGAAAGCTGCCGTCTTCCCGGTGCCGGACTGGGACTGGGCAATCAGGTTCTGTGGGCTGCAGACAGGTGGACACCCTGAGCAGGGGAGGGGAGGGCTCTGGGCAGCTCAGAGGAAACGGCCGCCCCTCCCCGAGTGTCACGGCAGCAGGCAATTTGAGTGGGCAGCATCTGGGCATGGCGAGAACTCACCCACGTCCAGCAAAGGCCCCCTTGGAGATCCCTTGCACCCATCCCGCCACCTCTTCCGCCCCCACCCAGCCTTCCAAGGCTGCCAAACTCCCCTGCTCTCCCTCCAGCCCTCCCGGGGGGCAGGACTTACGGCTCCGCGAGCATCATGGGCAGGGCGTTCTCCTGGATCTTGGAGGGCCTGTTGAAGCCCATGGCATAGACCCCCTGGAGCAGCTGGGGCTTCCTGATTGGGGGGAGCAAAGATGACGCCTCTGCAGCGCTACGAAGACTCTGAACCCGCTTCTCCCTCACAGGGCTGACAGGCAGGGGTAGAACGGAGACCGCCCCCATGCAGGGCAGCAATGCCACCAAAGCCCCCTACTCTGAGTGATCTCCCTCCCCCACGAGGAACCACGAGCTCCCCGAAAGCCAAGTGGGAGGCACTTACAAGCGCAGCTCTTCGAACGACTTCACCGAGTACAGGGGCGACGTAGGGTCCCTCTGCAGCACCTCCACCTGGTTCGTGTTGTCCACCAAATTGCTACGGATCAGCTTGTTCAGCAAGGACTGGGCGGCCCGATCCTCTGTGGCCAGATGGGAAAGGGGGGGGGTCACTAAAGCACGAACACCCCCTTTCGTTTTTAGCAAGAGCCCTTAAGACTTATACAACGTTTCTCGGTGCTTTTACAGCCCCCCTCTCTGAGCGGTTTGCAGAGTCAGCCTGTCGCCCCCAACAACCTGGGTCCTCATTTTACCGACTTCAGAAGGACGGAAGGCAGAGTCAACCTTGAGCCGGTCAGGATCAAACTGCTGGGTGCGGGCAGAGTCTGCCTGCAATACTGCGCTGTAACCACTCTGCCATCAAGACTCTTGAGAGTCAGACCGCTAAGATGCCCACAAGGAGGGCAATTCTTCTCCGTTTTTGGCGCTTCCTGTCCTACAACTATGGCCTCTCTGCCACCCCTGCCCCACATACAAAACCCACCTAGGGGGCCTCCGGCCAAAGACCGGGTGTCCCAGCGCTTGAGGATAGAACCAGCAGATGGCAAACAGCTGGCACCGAAGACAGAACGCTGAGTGGGCTTGGCTTTCCCTCCGGACATTACAAAGCTGGGCACTCGGAAGCCCAGCCCTGCCAAGAAAAGGAGGGTCTTAACTACCCCCCCACCAAAGAGCCCTTCTTGGAAAGGGGGACGAGGTTGGGACCTGGGGCTTTCCTGCACAGCAACAGGAGGAAACAGGCTTGGTGCTTCCTGAACCAGTTAAAATTAGGCATGTGCTACCTTTGTCCTCTTCTTCCGTCTTCTCTGCACTGTCCCTTGTCTTGACAACGGCTCCTGTTGGAACAAACCATCATTTGTAGCACCAGCAAGATGGGTTGGCCAAGAAAGTTATTCTGTTACTCCAGAAGGGGTCGGACAACCGTCTCTCGTGGAGGGCTTTGTAAGTTCTCCTGCACAATGCAGAAGGCTGACTGGGGAATTCTGGGAGTTGAAGTTCACCCATCTTAAAGCTGCCAAGGTTGGGAAACCCTGCCTAGGAATGTAATTTCCCTCATAAAAGTGGGGGGGGGGGGAATAGGACTGTCTCTGCGTGTGGGCGCAACTGGTAAGAACAAAGAGCAGGAAATAGTCTCCAGGGTGTCTGTGACAGTTACAGGGAACGGCTCCGCCCCGGGAACCACGGCTACACCCACCATTGGCATCTGGCTTGAGGTTCTCCTCCTTCAGGTGTAAGTTGCTCAGCTGAAAGGGAGAAAAGAGTGAGATTCTGAGCACAAATTGGGGCTTCTCAGTTAACTGCCACGGCACAGGTGCCATCCTATAGTTTAGGGGAAAGAATTAAAATCTTCATGGCTGTAGTTCTTTAGAGGATTTTAAGTTCCTATGAGCACCTTGGGTAACTGATAAGCCCGGGATTCTCAACCTTGGCAACTTGAAGACGCTGGACTTGAACTCCCAGAATTCCCCAGCCAGCCAAAGCAGGATGGGGGATTCTGGGAGTTGAAGCCCCCCACACGCACATCTTCGAGCTGCCAAGGTTGAGAAACAGTGTAAAAGGAGAAAGCTACATCATCTGCTGGTCCTTTGGGACTCCCAGATCAGAGGCAGAAATGGCACCACGGCAGCCAAGGAACCCGCAGGACTATACACACACACACACACACACACACACACACACATTTAAACAGGAGAGAGCTTCATACGCACCATTCAAAACTACATCAATATAACCACACACAGAAGACAGAAGGAGCAGCCCCTCCCCCCACTCAGGGCTGCAACCGCAACTTCACACAGCAACCCAGGTGTGTTTGTGGGTTTCAAGGGGTGGATGCTCCCCTCGTTTCAAGGCGGGTTTTCTTTTTCTGCTTTATGAGCGCCCCCCCCCCCGGCAGCGGGCAACTCTCAGCGGCAGGGGGGACCCATTCACACGTGCACACGCGTGTCCCGGCCCGCCCAACCTCCCCGCCCGGCGTTCCTCACCGAGGCCGTGGCGGCCGCCTCCTGCTCGTCCACCGCCAGCGCCCACGAGTCGGTCGCCATCCTCTCCCCGGAGACGGAGGGACAGCTCGGCCTCACGCTGCAGCCCCCGGGAGACCGCCGGCTCTGCGCAGGCGCCGCAGGAAGGGGCGGGGCGCTCCGCGTGCGCCCCAGAAAGGATTCCGGGCGGGGGGCCGCGGTGGCACGCCGGACGTTCCGGAAACGCCTTGACCCGCCCCGCCCCGCCCCGCCCCGCCCCGCCCCCTTCCTTCCTTTTTTTTTTCTCCTTTCGAACGTTCCACTGGCGGGCCAAGCGCGCATGCGCGATTCTCGCAAAATTAAATGCAATGCGAGAAATGTAAAGCCGTCGCGGGTTTGTCCTTTCTTGCACTCTTTTTGCATGCTGCTCCGAGAGGAGGGGGGGCCTCGAAGGGGGCCCCTAATTTTCCTGGGGGGGGGAGGCTGCCCTGCCCGCCGTTGCCCAGCCGGGGTCTGGAAGTTTTCCTCTCCGTCCGCCTGCAAGGCTCCTGGGGAAAAGAGGTGGGCTGGCACCCCTCCTTACCCAAAACTGCCTCTTGCAAGCTTGCCAGCTGGGAAGACTTGAACTCAGAACACCCCAGGAGTGGGCAGGCTGGAACTCGCAAAGGGGTGGGGGTTGAGGAACCCTGCACAAAGCCAGGGCTTGCTGGGTGAGGGGCTGCTCTGGGTTTCCCCCCTTCCGTGGCTGAGCCCAGCGTGCGCCATCATGCAAAAGGCTTCTCCCTCCTGGTCATGACCCCCTTCTCCCTCCTGTCAGCCTGGACGGCGCTGTTGGCATCTCTGATGACGGGAATTTGCTGCTGGGCAGGATGGCCCGGCAGGGTCGCTCTGCATCGCCTCACTCCCCCCCCCCCCCAGGCTCAGCCACCCTCCCTCCCTCCTTCCCTCTCATCTGCCCCCTCTTCTCCCGTGCTGACCCCTTTGTGCCAGGATCCACTTTGGGGTCCCGCCGTCTCATCATCGTCTCGCTTTCCCAGGGTGACATCATAGCCTTTGCCATGGCAACGGGCAGTCGAGCCGGTGTGGGTGCTGAGCCACACGCACAGCAGCCGGGGAAGAAGCAGCTGCGGCCAGCCGGATCGGAGCTGGCCAAAGGAAAATAGGAAAATGCCCGCTGAGATGCACCTTGAACGGGGTGCAATCCTTGCTCGATTGCTGGGAAACCTGCTTGCTTGTTTCCCCACAACCATCTGGACCCCAGTTCATTCACACAGTTTCCTGCGTTTGCTCAATTCCTCCAGCCAAAAGTCAACCACTTGAATTGTGTTCACAAAGCACACTACATAGCTGAAACGGTTCGAGGGCTTTGGGGGTCAATATCTTGCTAAATCCCAGCCAGGATCTTGGCACGTGGCTTGAAGCAGGCACAAATTTGGGCACTGGGCATTAGGTTCTGTTAACCTGGATTTGGGCTTCAGAGTTGGCCAACCCAGCCACTGAAAAACTAACCCAGGAGTCTGTCCTCAAGCACTGCACTAGATTCCCATGCAGGGGAACCTTTATTGGTAGCTCAGGGTTGAAATGAGGGGTCCTGAGTCCTCTCTGAGCTTGGGGGTTTCCTTGCAGACATTTCGTGACCCAAACTAGGTAACATTATCACTAGCACTGATGATGGCATCTAGTTTGGGTCATGAAACATCTGCAAAGAAACCCCCAAGCTCAGAGAGCACCAAGGGCCCTCAAGGATTCTCAGTCTGGACATTGTTCAGCATTCTGGGCGTTGAAGTGGTCCACCCATGCTGGCTGTGGGATTCTGGGAGTTGAAGTCCACCCATCTTAAAAGTTGCTCTGACTGAAAAATACTGCTTTTTCTCCTTTTGGTTATTCTTCAAATAACCTTTTCTGTCACTTAGATCTCGGAGGTGTCTTCCTTCTCTGGCGTTTGACCTGGAGGAGGACAGCCAGATGGCTGGAGAAACAGATTGGGATAATAAAGAGAACCTCATTATGTTTCCACTTAAAGAACGAACAGGGCAACTGTCTTCCAAACACCCTTAGCCTGATTTATGATGTTGTTTATGCTTTGACCATAATGCAGTGGGCAGACTCTCCTGTCAAAATCTGAAAGCCACCGTTTAGGGCTTAGGATGAAGGCAGCCAACTCCAGTTTATCTGACAAGCTGCAATTAAGCCAACAATGTGGGGACCCGGCCGATGGTTAGTTTAAGCAGCTTTTGCTGAGCTGAATTATGTGTGTGCCTCACACCCAAACTGCAATTTTTTCATTATGTTTGGTCATTGATGAGCTAAGCTTTGAGTTCCTCTATTATCAGAGTTACTGAGTTAGAATTACTGTTTAGACCCCCAAACATTGATGTGAGAAGCTAGAGAGGCCTCAAATGGGTCGCTTCTAGCCAACCATCTCTTTTTCCTGCCCTTCCCAAGCCTACATGCTTTCTGTCCATCTTGAACTATTAAAGCTTTATTTAAAAAAATATTTTCATAGTTTGGATAAATTGCAAACAATTATGGCTGAGGCTATAGATAAAATGGCCGTTCCCCAACATTTGACCCTACATCAGTGTTTCTCAATCTTGGGCACTTTATGATGGGTGGACTTCAACTGTCAGTAGGGTTGGGGATGATGGGAACAGGAATCCAGCCACGAAGGAGCGTGACACCAAAGTTTGAGCTATTTTTTCCCCTTGGAGGTGTCATCTACTACAATCATGATCTCACTGGATGAGCAGGAGCTGGGCTGGGCGCCAAGGACATCCATGTCCTGTCCGATGTGATGTCTCCGTCCTTCACTTGCTGTCCTTCAGTCTCAAGAATGACCTTTCCTGTCTCAGGAGACCTTCCCACAGACGGGAAGCAGGGAGGGATCCAAACCGACAGGGGACTTTGCTTCTCTCAATTGTGATGGCTGACGGACGAGCAAATATCCCTATGGTGCTCGATCAGGAAGTTATTAAAGGCTATTAAAAATTTCCCAAGAAGCCATGTAGGATTAGAAAGGCAGGGGCGCCCCCTCATCCATCTGGGATGCATCTTTCCACCCCTTCTCCCCAGAAAGAATTTCAAGGTCCATTAAAAGTCCTCCTTCGGACTCCTGCCCGTTGCTTCTCAGCTGTGCCCCCCCCTGGACCTGGATGGGGGCTCTTGAGGAGGCGGCCCCCTGCTCTCCTACCTGGTCCCCCACCCTTCCTGGAGGGCTGATTTCTCCTTCAGAAGCAGTTTCCCTCCTTTTGGGGTTCCTGTCCTCCCGGAGTTGTCCATGGCTCCCTAATACTTTGCAAGGACTCCGAAGGGTCCAGCCGACCCTCATCAGAGGGAGCCCTGGTGGCAGAATGCAGTATTGCAGGCTGACTCTGCCCACAGCCAGGAGTTCGGTCCTAACCTGCTCAAGGTTGACTCAGCCTTCCATCCTTCTGAGGCAGGTAAAATGGGGACCCAGATGGTTGGGGGGCAGAGGCTGACTCTGTAAACCGCTTAGAGAGTGAAGGAAGGAACCGAGTGGAAGGGGAGGGGGCGTCCCACCTGCCGGCCCCCAAATGCAGGGGAGGGGCGTGCTGGTTCCCCTCCGGGCTCTTACTGAAGCACTGCGGAGGCGCGGCGGACGCCGGCCCGAGCCACGCGGAGGTCGGTGCGGGGGGGGGGCTCCTCGCGCGGCTGCGACCCGCTTTGCGCCCGCCTGTCCCGCCTGCGGGTGCGTGCGCGCGTGTCCTTCCCGACGGCCAGCCGAGCTCTCCCGCTCTGGCTCGCTCCGCAAGGTGGGCAGAGGAGCCGCAGGCAGGGGAGACGTGCCCGCCCGGTCGCCAGCAGCCCCCCTCGCCCCCCGGCCAGCCCCACGCGGGCCACTTGCCGCCGCCGCTGCGTTCAGGAGAGCCGGCGGGCACTGCGGAGCTCCCGGCGGGCAGCCTTCCTGGACCCCCGACCGGCCCCTCCGGCCAGGTAAGAGCAGCCCCCCCGCCGCCCCCTCCCGCCGTCGCCACTTTCGCTCCCGGTTTGTTTTTCCGTCCTGTCTGCCGGCTCCCCCCGCCGCCATTGCCTCTGTGCGGGGACTTTCTCCTGCCCCAGAAAAGTGCCCGATTTTCGTTTGACGCCCCGCGCTGAGCCTGGGACAAGTCGGGGAGGGACGGGGGGGGCTGCAAAATGCCACCAAGCCTTGGGCTCCCAGCCTTGGTTTAAAAGGGAGAAAGAGAGAGAAAGAGAGCCACCTGCGCCCCCCCCCCCGTTTAGCTCCAGGTCTCCTGCTGCTTTCAGACACAACATTCCTCCCCCCGCCGGCAGCTACAGTTGTGGCTCTGCGTGTGTAAATGGGGGGGGGGCGAGCTGTGTTTGCAAGGAACAGCGGCAGCTTCGGAGGCTGCGAGGGAGCTGAAGATGGGGCCCCCTCCTCACCTCCGGAGAGAAGAATCGGGGGGGGGCGCTTGGGCTGAACCCAACAGTGGCCCCCTCTTCAGGTGGGGGTCTCCCCTCGCCAAGAGAGCGGCTCCCCCCAGTCTTTTGCACCCGAGTCCTGTTTTCACCCGAAGCCCCGCAAACTTGCGTGCCTGCCCTGATCCTTTCAAGATCTCTCTGGGTCCCCACCCGATCCCTTTGCGGAGGGCGGGGGCTTCTGCTGCCGGGGGGGGGGTCTTGGGCAGCCTGGAGGTGGCAGGTCTTTGCCCCCCTCCCCCCTTCAGAAGCCTCTTTGGAAAGCGACCCTCTTGGGTTCCGGAATTGCGTCCCGCTAAGACGCTTCGCCCCTACGGCGGACCCCTCCGTCCCGGCTGGGCTCGACAGCCCAGGAAGGATTGGGGAAGCTGCAGAAGGGAGAAAGCAACACGCAGCAATTACTCCAGCGTGGGAATGCAGTTCTGTTCCTATGCTCACCATGCCTCACCTCCAGCGGCTGGAAGAGTGGCATATAAATTCGATAAACTTGATAAATAAATAAGATCGCCTCTTACTTCACATCAGAACAGGCATCGCGGATTCACGCAGGAGTCCTTATTTTGCTAGGCAGAGCACATGGACACAACGACAGACACAATTAGTGCACCAGCATCTTCTGGAAAACCTCAGTTTGACTGGAATACAGGCGGTCCTCAACTTACGATCATGCTAAGCGAGAGATTTGTTGATGGGCTTTGCCCCTTTTTACAACCTTTCGTGCCTCATTTGTTAAATGAATCGCCGCAGTTGTTAAATGAGTCACACGGTTGTTAAGTGAATCTGGCTTCTCCAGTGACTTGGCTTGTCAGAAAGTCGCAAAAGGGGATCATGTGAGCCCCCCAGGTTGCTGCGACCGTCATAAATATGAGTTGGTTGTTAAGCATAACTGAATTTTGATCACACAACCACGGGGTTGTAAGTGGTTGTGTGATCAAAATTCTGGTCATAAGTCAGTTTTTTCACTGCTGTTGTAACTTTAAATGAACCGGTGTAAGTCAAGGAATTCCTGTGCCTGGAATCCTTTTAACATGTTTAAGTGTTTGTCACCAGGAAAGCCCATAGTTTTGAGGCAAACCACACACTTTTTCCAAGGTGCCAAACCGAGTTGTGTCTGAAGCACCCTTTGTGGTTTTAAAAACGGAGGGTGAGGCTTCCCTCTTAGGAGACTCCCCTCGTTTCTCAGTCCTGCCGATCGATCAGGTCCCGCCGGGAGAAAACAGACGGGATGCCTCTCCTTCCGGGACATTAGGCCTCGCTTCCCTGCTTTCAGTCAAATGTGCTGTGGTGGTGCTGGCTGCGGTAAAACCCTCATCCTGTAATTCAGCGGCTAATCAAGCCTTGCAGCTTGGCTTAATCTGAATTAATGAGCCCAGTAATATGGACTCAGCAAGCAGGATTGGACTGGCTGAGTGTTCTTCGGTGGGCCCCCCTTCCTTCCGGGGTTTAGCCCAGAGAGAGGGACTTCTCTGAGGGAGGACAGTTGGCGAGAGCCGCCTGTGAAGATCTCTAAGACCAAGAGAGGCATCATCACTGACCAAAGACACCAGCTTGCATTCAACAAGGTCCCAGGAATTGCTCTTTATTCAGTTTAGGCTTTTGGTGGTAGACAATCCCTGAAAGGGGAGGCTCTATTGAGCTCCTCCCTCCATTGCTTCAGTTTTCTTAAACTCTTCCAGATTAAATGATGACTTGTCCGCTTTCCCAGGCAGGGACCAAAAAAAAAAAAAATGAAAGTAGCCCAGCCCTCGCCTGTTTCTCTACCCCAAACATGGAGGTCAGCCCCGAGGGTCACCCCGGAGAGACAGCCCAATTTGAAGGAGGCTTCAGTGAGTTTGGCCCCTCGGCCTCCGAAGGGCGAGAGGACACCCCAGTGGGGGCCCTCCAGAGATCCTAGAAGACGAGGAACTGTGAGAGAAAAACAGTTCGCCTGGAGGTGAATTCTGTTTGGCACACCGTGGGAATGAATGTGTTCAAACTCGCAACGCCTTCGCTTTCTCTCCCCCTCCCTCCCCGCTGACGCAGAATCTGTCTCCGACCCCCCCCCCCCTTCCTTCCAACTGGGAAGACTAAACCCTTGATTTATTACCCTGGGAGAGAGCGACACTCTTTGGCGATGAATCACTCGTCCTCGTCCTCGCCAAAAGGAAACCGAACACAGAGCGAGTGGGACGATCCCTGGACACATCTGTCAAGAGCTGCCCTTGACCGGCCACAGGGCTGAGGTGGCTGTTGTGGTCCATCTGGAGCAACAAGCATTCCTGGGTCCGTTTACGCATGAAAGCAGCCGGTGCCAGAGAATTGGAGGCAGGTGATGCAAAAACCCGGCTTCTCCAGGAGGGTCCCATCACGGCCATCCCAGCTCTGCTTTCTATCCCAGGAGAGCCCGTCTGCAGCTGGATCTACCTCAGCCCCCTCCCCTGTTGCAGCCCCCCCACCAAGAGTTGCGTTGCAAAGTTTCAGCAGCAGAAAATGCCCCACAAACAGCGGCACGTTCCCGTCGTTAGATAGAGGAGGAGGAGGAGGGAAAATATTCACAGTAGCCAGATGAGGGATTTGATCCCTAGGAAAGCCAATTCTGACCCATTGGTAAAATGTCCCCCATCCAATAGCAAAACAGCCCCAGAAGATCTCCGAAACCGATTCTCAAACTCTTTTTTTTTTTAAAGAGAACTGCAGAGCAGATTCATTGGGGCCCGGGGAGCTGCTTTGCCCGGGACCCCAAAGGTCCAGCACCCTCTGATTTTCCATCGTGGACTCTTTCTGTGGCCACCAACCGGCCCAGCGTGGCCCGGCGGTCGGATGCTTGCGGCCATCTTAGGGCTGATGCGCTGTTCCTGTTTCAGAGGAGAGAAACTGAGTCCCTGGTTCCTTTCTGGGTGACCTTTCCTGCTCCGATCCTGAGACGGCCGCCAGGATGCCGGGGTTGATCAACCGGACGACCAGCACCGTCCTCCCTCTGGCTGCCTCGGAGGTCACCTCCTGCGTCAGTGGCTACGCCTTTGGAATGACTGCCTGCCTGTCCTACCACAACTCCGAGAACCATCCTTTCGAAGGTAGGTGTGGCAGCCTCTCTCCGAGTCTCTCTTCCTCTTTCTCAATTACGAAGGGACGAGAAGGGGAGGCAAACTGTCCCGGGTTCAGAAGAGTTACAGGTAGTTCTCGACTTACGACTTGGGCAGGTTTTGTTTCAACTGTAGGCAGGTCCACCGGCTGACAAATCGCCTTCCCTTCCCAGGCTTGTTTGTCTACCCCCTGGACGAACACACAACGGTGGTGGGCTTCGAAGCGGTGATTTCCGAGCGGGTGCTGACGGTGCAGATCAAAGACAAAGCGAGAATGGAGGAGAGCTGCTTTGGTGACGGAAGAGTTCCGGATGAGGAGGGTGAGAGAGACGTGGCCAGGGGAGGGGGCAAGGTGGCAATCGTGCCCACCGCCCCGGTTGGGTGGAGAAGATTAAATAATGCTCCATCACTCCCTGCTCTGTTGGATTTCAATGTTCCTTTTCCTCAGATAACGGACAAGCTTTGAGACGCTACGTGTTTAGAAGCTGCAAGGTTGCGGAAGACTAGAGGCAGTAAGCTAAAACTGTCTCCCAACTTGGCAACTTTAAGACTTGTAGACTTCAATTCCCAGGTGCTGGCTGGGGAATTCTGGGAGTTGAAGTCCACAAATCTTAAAGTTGCCAAGTTTGAAGACCCTTGCCTTAGAAAGAGAGATCTTGAACACCTCCTTGAAAGCCTTCAATGAAATGCAGACAAGGATTGCTAAGCAGACCTTGGTCGTCTGAACGTCCTTTCTTGTAGGCTGCATAGTTCTGGATGAAGACCTGGAGAGGATCGTCTTTGTGGCCAACGTGGGCATCGTTCCTTCCCAAGTGGACGTGTCCATCTGCATCAGCACCTCCTCTGAGCTTCAGACCCTCCCAACCGGGGCCGTCAGGGTCCTCCTTCCGGCTGTCTGCGCCCCCAGAGTGCCCCACAAAGCCACCGATTCGACCACCGGCTTCTCTGGACACCCCCTTCCATTGTAAGCAGCCCCTGTTCTGCGTTGACGTTGCAGCGAGGACAAATCTGAGTCCAGATCCTCACCGGTTTTAGTCTCTTGGGTTAAGACAGGAAAAAGACAAGGAGAAAATCCAAGGGGAAAAAAAAGTCATTTTTAAGTCAGATTGCAGTTGCAGATGACCTTTTCCTAGAAAAATCTAATAATGCCCTGAAAATGGGAAAATAATCTTGGATAAGCAGCAGTTCATCAAACCACTTCTGGGGGCCTTTCACAATGGGGAAGGCGTGTGTTAAATAAAAAGACAGACAAAGAAATCCCAAATTCCAGGCTTTTGTTTGTAGAAATAAAACAAAGCAGGGAACATTCTTAATGCATCAGTAGTGGAATAGGAAAAAAAAAAGCCAAGTAATTAGGATACCAACATTTAAAGGAGAGAATCTTGGAAGGGATGAAAAATTGGTGAGTTCTTCTCTGAATGAATATCCTGTTTTAGCTAGGTTTGTGCCTTGCTCAAAAGCACACTTTGATTGTGGTGCCCTTGGTGCCCTCTGAGTTGTGTGGTTTTCTTGCAGACATTTCATAACCCAACTAGGGAACATCATCAGTGTTAGAAGGTTAGTGGGGTTTGCTGTCTGTTTATATACAAGTCCCCATTCCCTTCTATTACTGATAAAGTTCCCTAGTTGGGTCATGAAACGTCTGCGAGGAAACCACCAAGCTCAGAGAGCACCAAGGACCCCACAGTTCTCCTCCTCCTCCTCCTCCTCCTCCTCCTCCCCCTCCTCCTCCTCCTCCTCCTCCTCCTCCTCCTCCATATATAGACATATTCTGGCCTTCTCCTCACCAGGGACAGGCACTACAGCGGGACGCCGTCTCCAGAACAAGCAGGGAAATTTTGCCTGGCGCATCTCCTGGAAACCGAGACCACCAACCCCGTGGAGTACGAATTCAGCTTCTCCCTGGAGATCCGAGGGCCGTGTTTATTGGCAGGTCAGCCGGGAGATCCAAAGGAAGGGCTGTTAGCCAAGGAGGTGGGGATAAGAGGCAGTCCTTGCAGGAAAAACATCTCCCGGACTCCCAGAACTTTGACCCCGGTTGACCCTTTGACCCTGGGGTCAGCCAACCCGTGCCCTTAGAAGGCGGCCCTCCTTCGCCCTCAGAGTTAAGATCTGCAGATCCCCCTTAGAAGGATTCAGAGAGAACTGTCCAAGGTGCTGATATTGCCAGAATTCACGCAGGCAGTCCTTGACTTACCCCAGTTCGTTTAGCGACCGTCCAAAGTTACAAGGGCACTGGAAAAAAGGGACTCAGGGCCGTTTTCCACACTTACGACCGTTGCAGCATCCCCCTGGTCAGACGCTTGGCAACTGACTCGCATTTATGACAGTCGCAGCGTCCCGGGGTGTCCCATTTCTGACCAGCAAAGTCAAGGGCGAAGACAGGCTCACTTCACAACCGTGCTACTATTTTAACAATTGTTGTGATCCACTTTACAACTGTGGCAAGAAAGGTCGTAAAATGAGGCAAAATTCACTTAAGAAATGTCTCACTTAAGCAATAGATGTTTTGGGCTCAATTGTGATTGTAAGTCAAGGACTGTCTGTAGATATAAATTCTACTAAATAACTAAGTAAATCTGGGTGAAACGTGGGGTGAAATGTGTGAAGAGGCACCCTGCTCTCCGTTGCTGAGTCACAACAGCCAGGATGGGAATTTAATTTGAAAATTTCCACTCGAAGGCTGAGCGAGGAAATGAGGGCAGGGCCGGCCTTCAAACCGTGCTGCCGCATGAATCAAAGTAATCAGAATAATTAAAAATGCTGTCAAAGCCTCGCGAAGAGATGCAATATGATATTTGCTGCTAATCCATTACTCTGGGAGGGAGTCAGAATCAGACAGAAGCCCGGCCACCGCACAGGGGCCTTTTCACGGGGCAGCCGGACTTTCTTGTCCACAGGGGTGGAAAGCCCCACGCACGAGATCCGAGCGGACGCCGACCCTTCGGCCAGGTCGGCCAAGAGCATCACCATCACCCTGGCCAACAGACACACCTTCGACCGTCCGGTGGAGGTCCTGATCCACCCGAGTGGTAGGTGGGAAACCTCTTCGGTTCCGTAGCCTGGAGGGGGGTGGGTGGGTGGGTGAGTGGGGGTCCTTCCCTTGTTGGGGAAGAACAGAAACATGGCACACTTCAAGTTGGACTAGAGGACCTCCAGGGTCCCTCCCAACTCCGTTATTCTGTTGTTCTGTTGTTCCATTCATCTGTTCTTCTGTATGAACGGCCCTCCTGTTTGATCAGGGGGTTGGACTAGAAGACCTCCAGGGTCCCTTCCAACTCTAGGATTCCATGTTATAAGCAGCTTTTCCATTTTCTGAGAACCATCCCTGCCAATCCCTGTTTACATTTGGGCAGGGATGTGTGTGTGTTTGTGATTATTGGGCTAATTTCAAATAGCAACCCTCCAAACGTGAGCCCAAAACCAAGGCTCGTTTCAAGATGAAGCGCTGCCCTACAAGGGAATCGGTGGGTCAGAGCTGCAGAATTCCAGGGAGGTCTGCATGCCCCTCCTTTGATTATCCCGTCGTCCACCCCCCCTTGTTTCCCAGAGCCCCACATGCCCCACGTCCTGATGGAGGAGGGGGACATGGCCCCTGCCCAGTACAAGCAGCACCTGAGGGGGCGGAGCGACTTCATCAAAGGCACCAAGAAGGACCCCAGCGCCCAGAAAAAGGTGAGCAGGGGGAGGTGTGGGACTTTGCCAGAGGAGGGACTTTGGGGGCAAAGACACCCCCCCTTTTCTTTTCCTTTAAGGCCCCCCTCGGATTCTGCCAGAAGTTCACAGCTCTTCAACCCCTACTTAAAGTTGAGGATTCTCATTGTTGAATTCTGGTCTGTGAGCCCTGCGAGCGGCTGTTTTTACTTTAATTTTTGCTTTAAATCTGTTCAGCCAGTCTCTGCATCCAACCTGTTTGCAGTGGTCCAGTTCTGCCCAGCTGTCCCCTGTCGCTGCCCTCCGGCTCCCTTGTCTGTCTGTCTGTCTATCTTTGTCCCCATCCTCTAGTCAGCCCCCCCAGAAAGTTTCCCCTCCCGTGAATCTCTCCAGATGCCTCTTAAATTCTCTTCCCTGGTCCTTTCAGACCGAAATTATCCGCAAGAGGCTTCACAAGGACATCCCTCACCATCCGGTGATCATGCTGAACTTCTGCCCGGATCTGAAAGCGGTGCAGCCAAACCTCCGGAAGACCCACAGAGAATTCATATTTCTGGTGGACCGAAGCAGAAGTATGGCTGGCACAAGCATCGCTCGGGTGAAGGTAGGATGTGCCCCTTCCCTTCCACGTCTGCCCTCCCTGAGCTTGGAAGCCGCCTGTGCCAAAATCTTGCGGTGACTCACCATTCATTAATCCGGCTTTAAAAGTCACCGGTGCCAAAGGCTGTGGGAGGAGGAGGAGGAGAAGGAGGAGGAGGAGGAGGAGGAGGAGGAGGAGGAGGAGAACGATCACGGTGGGGTCCTGGGTGCTCTCTGAGCCGGGTGGTTTCCTTGCAGACGTTTCATGGCCAAACTAGGGAACATCATCAGTGCTAGAAGGGAGGGGGGTTTGCAGAGAGGAGGGGGAGGGCTCCTCCATTTCCTGGAGCGTGAAAGCCTTGGACCCCTCATGTGCTCCTCGGGGCCCCTGAGGTCACGTCTCTGTGGCTTTTGCAGGAGGCGCTGGTGGTCATCCTCAAGAGCCTCATGCCGGGCTGTCTCTTCAACGTCATCGGCTTCGGATCCACCTTCAAGGCCGTCTTCCCTGCCAGCCAGGCCTACTCGGAGGTGGCATTTCTGGGGTCCATCCTGGATGCTGGTCTTGTAACGCCTGTGTAGATGCAGGGGTTGCGTTCGCATTGTTGCTTCCTTCTAACCTCAGCTGGTTAACCAAAGTGGGAAGAAGGGAGGCATCTCGGTCAGTTGAGGCTTCAGGGTGGAGGAAACACCTCAAAATTTGGGGTTAATTTGGGGATCAGACCCAGCCTGTTGTGTGAACAGAGCCTCAGCCAGGACGTGAGAGCTAATTTTGGGGATGGGTCTGCTCCCTTTTGAAATGCCGGTAGTCCTCGGCTTACGGCCACAACTGAGCCCCTCCCTCATCCTCACCCGTTGGGGGGGTCTTGCCCAGATGTCAGCCGGTGGGCCCAACGCCCCTTCCTCGGCGTGTCCAGAGCCCCTCCTCTGCTTCTTCCGCAGGAGAACCTGGCGGGGGCCTGCGAGAGCATCAAGAAGATCCGGGCGGACATGGGCGGCACCAACCTCCTGCCGCCCCTGAAGTGGGCGCTCCGGCAGCCCATCCAGCGGGGACACCCCCGCCTGCTCTTCCTGCTGACGGACGGGGCGGGGGGGAACACCGGCAAAATCCTGGCGCTCCTGCGCAGCCACACCTTCTCCACCAGGTGGGCCAGGGGGGCCGAGGGCCTGAAGCCAGTCCTGGGGGTGGGGTTGGTCTCTCCCTCCTCCCTCCCCCCGTGCAAGAAGGCAGCCGGGCAAAGCCCTTCTCGGAACAGCTGACCAGGAGAGAACAGGGCGGACATGATAGCCCATCAAGGCAACGAAGCCATTTTGGACTTTGGGCCAAGTTGCCGGTTTGCTGAGCCTGTGGGCAAAGTTTGCAGAAAGATAAGCCTGGTTTTTCCACGGGGGGTCCCTGATAAGAGACCCCCCCAGCCTCCCTTAATCCCTGGGGGCCGCAGGGTGGCTCTCCTTGCCCACCAGGCCCTCTCCTCTTCCGGCTGCAGGTGCTACACTTTTGGCATCGGCAAGAGCGCCTGCCGGAGGCTGCTGAAGGGCCTGGCCACCGTAACCAAAGGGAGCGCCGAGTTCCTGGCCGAAGGGGAGCGGCTGCAGCCAAAGGTGGGGCCGCTTGGACTGTTGCAGTTGAGGCCACGCAGGGGGAAAAAAAATCCCCACTGCATTTTAAAAAAACCATTCCCCTCCAGTCCCATTTCATTTTTAAAGGAACGGCTTTTTATTTGAACTCCAAGAATGAAGGTTAATTTGATGCAGATCTTATCAAAAAGGAATAAAGAAAGAAGGAAAGAAAGAAAGAGAGAGAGAGAGAGAGAGAGAAGGAAGGAAGGAAGGAAGGAAGGAGAAGGGAACAAGGGGATGAGGAGCAAAAACAAGGGAGGGAGAAGGGAGGGTCTATCATTACCCTAACCCTCCAGCCACAATATTCTCTCCTGCATTTATGGGACAAGGAAAATTTCCAAGAATCTGGCCTTTTCCTCCTAGAGACCAGTCCGAAAGATCTGCCTCTAAAGAGACACCTCAACAAGGTCAGGTCTGCCTCTCCCTTGAATGCCTCTCCTGGCCTCCATCCTGCCTGGGAAGGATCGCAAGGGAGGCAGGCCTGTGTTTCGAGGGGGCTGATCAGTTCAAGCCTCAACATTTGTGCAAAAACAAACTGCTAATCGGGGCTTCGCTCCCCCCCCCCGCCACGTTTCCTGGACTGAAAAGCTGAGCGGCGGAGAAAATAAAATCTTTGGCATCTTTCAATGTTTGAAGGGCTATCGCAGAGAAGAGGCGGTGGACGTATTCTCCAAAGCAATAGAAGGCAAATACATTTCTATTTATTCCTTTATTTTATAACCTGCCTTATCTCAATGGCCCCAAGGCGGCAAATGAAAGGATTTTTCCTCCTTTTTATCCCCACGATAAGAGCCCCGCGAGATGGCCTGGGCTAAGAAAGAAAACTGCAAGCTCCCGGGATTACTCCACAGTAGATTACTTCGATCAATCAGTGTGAGCTGAAAAGCTTGCCAGATAAAAATCTAGCCACTCCGAGGACTATCAAAGATGGATCTAGTCTTTCTTCCAGAGTCCCTCTCGCCACAAACCCCGAGTACTTCCATCTCCCCTTCTGCCAAGGGAGGGGGGGTGGGAGAATAAAAGACCACCCCCCCCATAATGATATATGTTTCTTGCTCGGCTCCTGAATCTTTGACATCAAAGACGGGCACCAGCAGAGAGAGAGAGATGGCACCAATTGACCTCTCGGCGTGTTTGAAGGTCAGAAAATGCCAGCTACTTGCGCAGGAGGTGTTTATGAGTTTTGTCAGAAACATCATTGCTGGGGAAGGGAGGGTGAAATTTATAGCCGAAGGACTGCAACGGCTCAGAACTACAAAAGCAGGAAGGTCGGAATCAGAAAAACGTCTCTTTTTAAGAAGAGCCCGTGTTCGGAGACCTGCCACAGAGCCGTCAGACGTCAGAAACATCTGAAGGCATTTAATTGTCCTCGGTGTCTCAGACGTAACCCTTCCCCAGTTGTCAGGAAGATAATAAAGGAGGGGAGAGTGCAGTCAGCCTTGCAAAATTCTGTTGCTGTGTCATTATAATAAAAGTAATAGAACAGAATAACAGAGTTGGAAGGGACCTTGGAGGTCTTCTAGTCCAACCCCCTGCTCAAGCAGGAGACCTTGTACCAGGCTAGACAAATGGGTGTCCGGACTCTTCTTAGAAATCTCCAGCGTTGGAGCACCTGCAATTTCTGGAGGCCAGCCGTTCCACTGTCTGGAAGTTTTTCCTTAGTACCAGGTTGCTTCTCTCCTTGATTCATTTCCATCCGTTGCTTCTTCTCCTGCCTTCAGGTGCTTTGGAGAAAGGGTGGGACCCCTATACTCTGTCAGAACCCCCCAATTCCTGCAACCATTCTTCATATGTTTTACCTTCCAGTCCCCTAATCGTCTTCATTGCTCCTCTCTGCACTCTTTCCAGAGTCTCAACGTCTTTTTTATACTGTAGAGACCAAAACTGGATGCCATGTTCCAAGTGTGGTCTTAGCGAGGCCTCATAAAGTGGTCTTCCCTGCAGAACGGTCAAAACTGTGGCTACTTGGACTGGGGGTCACTTTGATCGGGACTCTGCCTTTAAGGGCACCAGTCTAGGTGGCCACCATCTGATCTGAAAATTTCTTTGGGTTTTAGATGATCAGGTCCCTGAAGAAAGCCCTGGCACCAGTGGTGAGCGATGTCTCCGTAGATTGGGTGTTTCCCGAAACGGCAGAAGTCCTGATTTCGCCCGTCCACGCCAGCTGCCTTTTCCCGGGAGACCGTCTGGTGGCCTACAGCATTGTGTGCGACACATCCCTGTATGTCTCTAACCCCCGGCTGGTGAGTGGCCACAACCGATGGACTTCCGCTACTCTTAAGGTCCACGCTTGATGGTCTGCCGTTAATCCCTTGATCTAGAATGGAAAGAGCTGTCCCAACATGGTTTCCACGGACTCAGTCAGCTTCCCAAAGCGTCTGCTACTCTACCACTGAGCCACGAGTGCATTGCCCACTTGACCTTCTCTCCCCAGGACAAGAGACGCCGTTACAGCATGCTGCATTCGCAAGAGTCAGGGAGCTCTGTTTTCTTCCATTCACAAGAAGAAGAAGGAGGAGGAGGAGGAGGAGGAGGAGGAGGAGGAGGGCTGGAGAACTGGGAGGTCACCAAGGACCCCGGAAGTGGATTTCCTTCGGAGAGGAGCAGCGGAGAGATGGGAAGCGAATCGGACATAGATTCAGGTGGGCTTGGACGGTGGTCGTATCCTAGAATTGTCGACGTTGCCAATATTTTCACCAGTTTACTCCTTTGCTTTGCTGATTATTATTTTTTTTAGTAAACTGGAGAACATTGAACTTATGGATGGGAAGATAAGAGTGTGGATAATCTGTTGTTTAGTTGCATAAACGGAGGCTTTGTGTTCCCTCAGGCTTAGACCCCGTAACGACATCCCAGCGAAGGGCCTACAGCACCAGTCAGGTTGCCGACTGGGAGCCTCCCCAGAAGCTCCCCACGGCCAGTGACTCCGGCTCTGTGCCGAGGGCAAATCCCCTCCGGAAAGCCCACCTGCAGGACCTCAGCCAGATCGCTGCAGGCGCTCAGCCCTGGCAGGGGGAGCTTCAGGTGAGAGAATCCCCGCTGCTGCCCTCCCGGGCTTTGAAAGGGTCGCCTAGGGCAAATTCAGCAGACCTGCAGGACGTACATCCCCACGACATTCTTGTGCACCGGGCTGAAAACCTTCCTAACTTGGGAGAATCTTTGGGAAGAAACTTGGGAGAAACTTGGGAGAATCAGAGGTTTCCCTAACTGTCCCCTCCCTCTCTATTATTATCCTGTTACTCTTTTTGTGGAGGCACAAATGCTGGTGCAATTCTTCTGCAGGAGGATGTGGTTTCTCTTTCCCAAATGGGAAAACAGCCTCAGGGAATTTAGTAGGACTTGGAAGGCTGCAGACAGAGAGACCCAGAGAGCAGCAGAAACCAAGCAGCCCCTCCCGGCCCCTCCCAGCCAATTGTACACCACCACCCCCCCCCAGGGAAATGTGGGAGAAAGCCATTCTCCAGGAAAACTGGGCAGAAAAAGAGACATCTACAAAGGAAGAGCAGAGCAGTTCCATTTCTGCGCAGCCTTAGATGTGCCAGCATGACGGGCATCGATGTTATCTCTGGGATTGGCAGGCGGCAGTGCCCCCCCCCCCCGCCTTGCAACTCCAGCTGCCTCTGCTGGTTCCAGAGAGCAGGACCGGTCTGTGAGAGCAAAGGTTTCTATAGCAACCCAAGGTGGAGTTCACTGGGTTTTGTGCAAAAGCCTTAAAACAAACACACGGAGCGGAGGAGCCCCATCCGGGCGAGATTGGCAGGAGACTGAATGGCTTCCAGTGGATGCTGGCCTCTCCGAAGGCCCCCCTGCCTCTGAGTTAGGGCGATCACCTTATTAAATTGCTGCTTTCCGTCTGGCCGGGTTTTGTGTTGCCAATTACACCCACAAAGAGACCCTCAAGGAAATTGAAGTTGCTTGTAAATCCCACACGATTGATCGCGGCACAAAGTCCCTGCCAGCCTGTTGCATTCTGCACAGGAAACCGAGGCACAAGAGCTGCCTCCAGAGAGAGCTCCTCTCTCCAACTTCCACCTGTGGACTTTTGAGCACACACGTACAACGAAAATCCCCCCCCCCAAAACTGTCCCCGGGTTCTGCTTGTGGTTACCAGGCAACTGGATCAGGGAATCTCCCATTCCCCTCCCTCCGTGCATCTCCCCCCCTTCAAGTGTCTCCCTCTGGTCAGCCTCTCACAGCCAGCTGCCCCCCAGCAACCAAGATCCGAGGAGTGGGTGCACGGCGGCCGTCTCTGCTCCAGGACCTGCGACAGCTGCACCGGGACCCCACGCAGGCAGCCGTGGGGACAGGACCGGGGTCCCAAGACACCAACTCCCTTCCGGGGTTCACGTTTTCAGACAGCCGAAGCCCTGGAGAACTGGGTAAGCTGCAATGATGGCTTGCATTGACTCTCAGACGCTCGCTGAGCTTGGATGTGGGCTTGTAGACCCCGGGTGACCCAACAAGGCAACCACAAGGACCCCTCATTGGGTGGCTTTGGGAATGTACACATTCACACACACACAAATGGGGAGAACGGAGCCCTTTGCAAAGTGAGCCTCTCACAAATTGGGCCATTCTTCGTGTTGCGTGCAGAAACCCTGCAGGTTTTTTTCCAAGTTCTCATTCTACAAAACTGCCTTCAAGATTTCTTGTAGAGGAGAGGAGAGTTTGGGGGCGGGGGGATTGGTGGGGGGCAAAGGAGCAGAGAATGTCTTACTTCCCCTTGTAAGGCTCTCCAGAGTGGGGCAAGGACCCCCTGCCCAGAAAGCAGGTCAGATAACCCCAGGTGGCTCATGGATTCCCACCACGCATAATCCTCTCTCTGACGTTTCTCGCAGAGTCTGCCCAGCATCCTTCCTTCAACTTTGAAACAGAGTCCGCCTCGGATTGGGACCTTCCCGATCCGGAACCGGGTTCCTCGGGCGGTGGTGGCTGGAGGGGGTCTCGAAGGTCGCTCTGCAAGGCCCTGGTGAAGGGGCTCCAGAACGGGGAACCGGTCAAGTGGGAGATAACCTTCGACCTCAGTGGCCTCTTCCAAAGCAGAGAAGACAAGGGCCAGGGAGAAGAAGGAGAAGAAGAAGAAGGAGGAGACATCTGGAATGAGACTTTCCACCACCTGGCTGCCAAGTCCATCGTCCATGACTTTGAGCAGCTGGCCGAGAGGGAATTTGAGATTGAGCACGGTATAGTTGGGCACCTCTGAATTAAATTATGATCGATCGATCGCTGGTTTTTCAGCAGCAGAAGCGACGGGAGTTAGAAAGATGGGCAAATATCCTGAATCCAGCTAATAGGCAATTTTACTGGTGTTTTGGGTCCTTCTACAGGGTCCGGGCGGCGGTACCAAGCCAACGCCGTGCACGCCAGCAAATCCTGCAACGTGATCAGCAAATTCACGGTGTTTGTGCCGGTGGACCTGAGCAGCAACAGCTATTTGCCAACCCTTGTTAAATATCCCCGTACAGGTGAGGCTCACGGCTCTTGTGAAGATGCTGCCTTGGCCTTAGAAAACCCAGGTAATGTCTCTCCACCCTGGGCACTTTAAGATGTGTGGACTTCAACTCCCAGAATTCCCTAGCCAGCATGGTCCAGAAAAGATCACAAAATAGGGTGTGACTCGCTTAAGAACCACCTGGAAATTCTGGACATTAGTCGAGGACCGAGTTTTTTCTTCTTGTGCCAGATTGGTGTCCCTTGAAGGAGACCAAAACATATCGGTCCAAAACATTTCCTTGAATTAAAGCAAGTCTTTGGTCCTCTGAACCCTTTTGAGATGGACCTGTCCCTGTCTTTTGTCGAGGTCTGCTGATGAAGTCGTCCAGCCAACCGGGCTCCAGGTTCGAGAGCCGACGGCACCGAAGACTCTCGGCTAGCTCAGGGCGGATTCATGACGGAGTAGACGGTGGGCCACACAGTGCAAGTAAGAGCGTGGCTGGAGCACTTTTTTTTCACCCTGGTCTTGAACGCTCCTCTCTGAGGTTCACCCTGGATATTGGGGTTCAAAATATGGGGGGACAGTTCCAGGAGAAAGGGGTTAATTCTGCGTGGCCCTCGGCTTAATTCCTTAGCTCTGGAGGGAAAGGAACGGAGATCAGAAGGAGAAAAAGGAGCCAAACATTAGGGTGTAGCTCCTTTTCCAGCTAACCAATTTTATTCAGAGTTATGCTGTGCACCAAAATTTAGCTATTTGAACAAAAGTTTCTGTTCAGAAAGCACCAAAAGTCTGATTTGGGGCCACTTTTTTCCCATTCCAGATGCAGAAGAGAACATTTTGTCTCCTTCTGGCTCACTACCTTCCTCTGGGAGGGATCGCCACAGTTTTCCAGACGGTAGGAGAGAAAAAAAAAAGCATTTATTCCCCCAGTCTATAAATTTAATAAAGAAACAATTATGCGCCAGAACATTGGCAATCAAGATTGGTCTAATTCAGGATCTCCAAATTCGGCAGCTTTAAGACTTTTGGACTTTGGACTTCAACTCCCAGGATTGCTCAGCCGGCATGGTTGACTGAGGAATTCTGGGAATTGAAGTCCACACATCTTAAAGTTGCCAGGTTTGGAGACCCCTACTCTAATTCATACCCTACATCATTGCTAGCATTCACCTCTGTCTTTACAGGGTCACTACGCAGCCCATCTGTTTCCTCTCAAAAGTCCATTGAAAACTTCTTTGGCGCCAGGTAAAATTCGCTTTTTCTCCCCGACTCTCTCTGAAAGTGGTTGCTCCTTACTCACTGTTTGCAAACTCTATATAAGAACAGGGGAAAATACTACGTAAACTTTCAGAAAAACTGTCAGGAATTCTTCTTAAAATTTTGGTATTAAGTGTTACTAGCGTCCTAGCGATAAGTAGGGTTTATACCCTCTCCGAATTGTCTAAAGATTACATTTCCCATATTGATTACATTCAAAGCATTTGAGTTTCATTTGGTTAGAATGAGGGATGTTTTGATTTAAAAAAAAACACCACAGGGGAGAAATGGGACTCGCTGTGTAATTGTTTATGTTCTGGTTTGGTTTCTTCTTCATCCAGGCTGACGTTTAACAAAACCAGGCTGCTGACCAAGGCTGCCCGGGGTTTCATGGGAAAATTTCCCGCAAAGAGCAACGAGCTCAGTTTGGAAAATGACAACGACAGTGTTGATTATCTGCCACTGGTGAGCAGGCTGAGTGGTGGGGAGAGACGGGGCTGTCCGAGAAATTTAGTTTTGAGGAAGTTGAAAGAGATCTTCCTTTCTCCCAAACTCTCTGTCTCTCGAACTAAACAGGAAGGTGGGAGGGAAAAATGCACGTGAATTTATTTCTGTTGCATTCCCAGGAACTGGGTCTGAACCAAAACAGGCTACAAAGCAGGTTCAAACTGGATACAGCAGTTCACACCTTAAATCAGTCTTATCCAAAGACTGATGCCCAATGCTGGGCTGTGTGTTTCCATCCTAGTTTTCAGAAACCTGGTTCTCCATCAGGTCTATGTTTGGGGACTGAGCAACCTTAATTGGCCTTTGAGCTTCTGCTGTTGGGGGCTGGCCTTGGTCACCAGGAGAGTCCTTTCAGAAGAGAATCCATACCCCTTCTCCAAATCTCAGATGTGTCTCCAAAGATAGCTTCCCCATCTCCCCGATTCTGACGTGGGGAGAGAACTAGAGCAACAGATGAATGCTTTGAGATCTTCTAGCTGGGCTTGCTGAGGAAAACCCGGCTACTAACATGGAGCTGGACTTGAGGAACCACTTCTCAGCTTTTTCTGCCCTGTGCTTGTGAGAAGTTCATAGCCTCTAAGAGATGAAAGAACACTTTCACTGAGGTTCTCTCCTCCGCCTTTCTCCTCAGGTGTCTCTCCAGCTGGCCTCTGGCTCCTTCCTCTTGAACAAGGCCTTCTCTGAGGCCATCAACATCCCCCTGGAGAAGCTCAGGTGGACCTCGCCGTTTGCTTGCCACCGCACGGACCTCAGCCCTTCCACCAGCTCCAGGAAAGTGGAAGGTCCAGGAGAAGCCAAGGGCACAAGTGTGGCTGATATTCCAGAGAGACATCTCCACAAAGAGGCTGAGAAGAAGGCTGCCCTGCAGGGACATCCTTCTGGAGGCCCAGCAGAAAGCTCCTCCCGAGTCCCCAAGGCCGAGGGCAGCCTGTCCCCTCCCTCCATCACCATCCAGAGCTTCTCCACCCCAGAGAGCGGCCCGTCCCCGCCCGACAGCGGCCGAGGCTCAGAGACGGAAACCTCCGAGCTCCAGGCGTGGCTCTTCAACGTTGGCCTCCAGCAGCAGGCCGATCCCGAGGGGATGCTCTGGGCCACGGCGGTGGCCTTGGCATGGCTGGAGCACAGCTCGGCCTCCTACTTCATTGAGTGGGAGCTGGTGGCCGCCAAGGCCAGCCGGTGGCTCGGTGAGCAGGACATCCCAGAAGGGCGAAACCTGCTGGCCCTCAAAACAGCTGCTCAACAGCTGTTTGTGCTGCTCCGGCACTGGAACGAAAATCTGCAGTTCAACTTGTTGTGTTACAACCCGAAGGATGTCTAGGAAGAGGGTGAGCAGAGGTAGGAAGGCCTGAAGGCCCCAGCTCCACCCAGTTCCAGCCAGGGTAGTGGCCGTCCGGTTGATGCCAGGGGCGCCTCTGGATCCCAGTGGACTCCATCTCCCATCTTCCTCCAGCTGCGTCGCATGGAGCTGGCATCTGACGCATCCGGAGGACCCTGGCTGGGGAAGGTCGGAGCGGGCAGCCTGAGGGGTTCCCCGATACCAGCCTCGTCCCCGAGTCTTTCTCTTGTCCTGCTGTTCAAGTGTGGACCTTCTGCGTCATTTTGTATTGTGCTTCTGAGCATGCAAAGCCCCCGCAGTGGTTGTGTTCCCTGAGGTGGGGGTTGTGGCTGTGCTTCACTGGGAGGAAGATCACCAGAAAAGTGCCCCCTCCGCCCTCTGGACCCCTCCAGGCTGGACTTCAAGTTTTCAGGAAAAAGTTTCTCCAAAGCCAGGAGGGTCCCGGAGCTGGGACAGGAAAGACGGTCCATGGGGTTGGCCGATGGGGAGACAGCTGAGTCTGGGGGGGCCCAAGTGGCAAGGGGGGAACACAGAAACGCTAGGGGGGCAAGCAAAGATTGAAAAGGAAAAAGGAAAAAAACACGACCAATTGCTAAAGAAATTCCTCCGTCGACGTTTTGATTGCTAGTTTCAGTCGTGCCCCATGTGGGCATCGGAAGAAGGGCAACATCTGATGTGAAGGAAGGACTCCTCGCCCTGCGTAGCATTCTAACAAAGTTAGCAGCGAGGATTATCTTCAGTTTCACTTTTTTTTTGGTCTCTTTGCTGGTTTCTTAACTATTTTTTTCATTTGTGGCTGCTTCAGTGGCTTAATAAACCGAGAACTGTTGAAAAAGAGTGTGTACGTGGGTTTGTTAAGCCCCCAAATACTCCCAAGAAAAAGCATTGAAAGGGGGGTTGGTCTGGGCACCCTTTTGTCCAGAATGGTCTAGGCTGGGTCTCTTGTTGGGCAGGGGGTTGGACTAGAAGACCTCCAAGGTCCCTTCAAACTTGTTTGGTAATTTTTTGTGCTGCGGTTCCTGCTTGTGTCTCATCTGAATCACCTTGTTGTGGGTTTCCTTTTCACCCCACAAAACAAGGGGTTGAGGGTGCATTTACTTGCAGGCACACAGTCTCTCTCTCTCTCTCTCTCTCTCTCTCTCACACACACACACACACACACACACACTCTTTCTCTTTCTTTCTCCCTCTCTCCCTCCCTCCCCCCCTCTCTCTCTCCCTCTTACACACACACACACTCTCTCTCTCTCTCTTTCTCTTTCTCCCTCTCTCCCTCCCTCCCTCCCTCCCTCCCTCCCTCCCNTCCCTTTCTCTCTCTCTCTCTTTCTCTCTCTCATTCTCTCTCTCTCTCCCTCCCTCCCTCTCTCCCTCTCTCTCATTCTCTTCCTTTCTCTCTCTCTCTCTCTCCCTTCCTCTCTCTCATTCTCTCTCTCTCCCTCCCTCCCTCTCTCGCTCCCTTTCTCTCTCTCATTCTCTCTCTCTCTCTCTCTCTCATTCTCTCTCTCTCTCTCCCTCTCTCTCTCTCTCCCTCTTACACACACACTCTCTCTCTCTCTTTCTCTTTCTTTCTCTCTCTCTCTCCCTTCCTCTCTCTCTCTCATTCTCTCTCTCTCTCTCTCTCTCATTCTCTCTCTCATTCTCTTTCTCTCTCTCCCTCCCTCTCTCCATTGCTGGTAAAGCCACCAGGCGGCACTGCTGGGCTCCAGTTTGGTTGAGGGGGGGGGTTTCCTTCTTTTCTGTTACTCAGGCAACAAGAGAGGAGCTCTGCGCTGAGCCAATGATGCTCTACACTTTACTCCTCTCCCTCCCTCCCTCCCCCCCCCATCCACAATCAACATGAGGGTTTGAATCACCCAGCCCCACAGGGGCTTTTCCCAAAAGGCAACTGGACTGTCTGGGTTGCTGTTTTTCCTTTGAAAACGTTTCCCTTCCCATCAGAGAAGCTTCATCAGTTCTGGCTGAAGGGCAGGGAATGGAAGAGTCCTCCCCTTCAGTCAGAACGGAAGAAGCTTCTCGGCTTGAGGAGCGAAACCTTTTCAAGGAAAAAAAACCTCCAAGAAAGTCCAGTTGCCTTTTGGAAAAAGCACCTTTGGGAGTTCTCCCTGACATTCCCGGTGCTCTGAATTTTGCAGGGGCGGCGTGTCAATGTAAACGTGTCTACTAGGGGAACGTTGTCCCTCCAGTGAACACCTTGATGACAAACCCCGTGAAAAAAATGTGTAACCTTTTGGGAAAAGTACAAGGGGAAAAGGGGAGGAGGAGGAGAAAGAGAAAAAAGAACTCTGGGGTCCTGGGTGCTCTCTGAGCTGGGCGGTTTTCTTGCAGACGTTTCTTGACCTAACTAGGTAACATCACCAGTGCTGGAAGGAAGTAGGATACACAAAAAGGAGGAGGAGGAGGAGGAGGAGGAGGAGGAGGAGGACCTATCTCTTTTACATCTTCAAAGCCAGCTTGAAAAAAACAGCTTTGTGCAGAATCCCCAAACAGCCGGGAAAAATTTAGGCAGACTCTCATCCTCCACTTCCCTTAGGAAACCTTCTCTTCTGCCAACACTAAGAGCTAGAAACTTGTCCTAAATTTGCACGATGGCATTCCTTACCAACGTTAGCAAACATTCAGCAATCCTAACCACGATCCAGTTACCCAACGCAGCTCTTCTCTGTGCACACCGACACACGGACACCCTGCTATGCTCCGCCCGACAGCTGAATCGGAGGACGGTTGATGGGGTCCTCAGCGCTCCTGCCTTGGGGCAGGGGACCTTCGTGGCAGGCATACGGGCGGGGGAGTGGGGTTCAGAAGCCCCCCGCAGACGCGCTGCCCCAAGGGAGAAGCAGCCGATGTGATAGCGAGGCTGCAGATGGTGAGTGGGATGGGCGGTGGGCAACTGAGTGGGCAACTGAGTGTGTTTAAAAGAAACAACCAGCAGAGGCAGAAACAACGGCACTGAAAGAAAGAAAATAACTCACAACATCAGAGTCCCACGTGTGCGTCTGTGTGTGTAAGATGAGGAGCCTTGTGTTGTTAGCCTTTGCACAAAGAGCACAAGCACAGCCCCAACTGTGTGTGGGTCAAGGAACTTACGACTTACGGCCGTAATGGAGCCTGCCTATCACGGCGGAAACCTGTAACCATTGCAAAAGATTTGTTTAATGTCCACTGCAAAAAAGGTTGTAAAATCAGGTCGGTCACATGGGTGACCCGTCCACAACTGAACAACAGCTCATTTAGTGACCGTTCAAAGTTACAACAGAACTGACAAAAGTGACTTATGACCATTTTTCACTCTTAACGACCATCGCAACATCCCCTTTTGGTTACGTGATCAAAATTCAGACAATTGGCAACTGACTCATACTTATGACAGTCGCAGCGTCCCTTTTTGTGACCTTCTGACCAGCAAAGTCAATGGAGAAGAAGCCAGATTCACTTAGTAACCGTATTACTAATTTAACCAACTGCAGTGATTCATTTAACGGTGGCAAGGAAGCTCCTAAAATGGGGGCAAAACTCACTTAACGAACGTCTTGTTTAGCAACATAAATTTGGGATTCAGTTATAGTCGTAAGCTGAGGACTACCTGTACAATCATGATGGTCGTAAAATGAGTCACCTGCGACTGACCTGATTTCCCAACCATTTTTGCCGTGGTCGTTAAACGAATCTTCACAGTTGTTAAAATTTTACTTTCCTCTCTCTCTGAGTGCTTTGGGCACAAACTGCCGTGTGTTTCTTAATCGTAATTTTTTCACCCACAGCCTCTTTTCCTCCCCCTGGCTCCCCCCCCATCAGATCCACAGAGGCTCTTCCCTGCTGTAATCATTGCCTGCGTTATTAAAATTCCCCCGTTCATCTTTTTTTAACTTTCCATCTGCCTCGGCCCTTCAATCAATTTAATGAATGTTTACACGGCACCCTCCGACTTTGAAGCGAAAGGGGGGGGAACCGCCAGCCTTTCTAGACGGTTCGGAGAGCCAAAGTAGAAAAGAAAAGAAATCCAGACCCGAAAGCGGGCGCAGCTAGTGAAGAGCTGATCCAGAGAGAAAACACCCTAACCTGCATGTAGCTGGAACGAAATTAATCTTGGCACAAGAACTAGGTTTTAATATTTTTTAATAAGGTTCGTTTTAAAATATTTTATTTAAACGTTGCGCACCGTCCAGAGTCAATTTATGTAAGACAGATGACTTTGTAAGCCACCCAGAATTGCTCGACAGCGAGATAAATGGCACATAAATTTAATAAATATACTTTTGCTAAATAAACAAACCAAGGCTCGTGGTGGAATGTGTTGTGTGAATCCATTCAATGGGGGTTTATTTAGCGAACTGCGCTTAAGCACACCGCAGCTTTATCTCGATTTAGACTGCCTGGATCTTGAATGTTTGCTCGTGGGGGGAGGGGAACCAAGCATTTTGCAAATAATAACCCCTCTCTCTTCCCCTGCCTCAGTTCCCCCTCTTGGTTTCATAACTATTTCACGGTAAAATGCTGGCCTGATTTAACATGTCCTCCTTGGGCAGGGGGAGGGGGGAATTGCTTATGAAAATATATGAATATTTATGTATATATTTCAGGCTTCGCTACATCTGAGTGAGAAAAATCAGTTTGGAGAGAGCACTTGTGAATAATTAACCTGTTTATCTTTGTTTTCCCTGTGTTGTGTGTGTGTGTTTGTGTGTGTGTGTACGTTCACACTGTGCAAGGAACATGCTTAAGAGACCCCACTTTACAAGACAACACACTGACCTGTTTTCAACCCATCTGGGTAACTTCTCGGCTCCTTTCTTTGGCTTTCACAAGAGCTGCACACTGGCTGAAACTGGAGCACAACAAGCCTTGGTTGGGAGTGGACACAACAATAGACCAGGTCTCCCCCAAAGGCCTTTCAATTAGACCAAGATAGACTGTGGGGAAAGAGAAGAAAGAATGAAGAGCTTGGAAAGAGCTTGGAAAGAGCAGCTCAGCCCAGGTGCAAAGAGAAACATTTCAGAACTTTCTATAAGCAGAATAACAGAGCTGGAAGGGACCTTGGAGGTCTTCTAGTCCAGCCCCTGCTCAAGCGGGAGACCCTCTGCCATTCTGTCCAGCCTCTTCTGAACATCTTCATCAACCCGTTGCGCCTTGCCAAAATTAATCAAAACAAAATAAGTTTCCTTTGGATGAGATTTCTCTGGAAGGTTTTGATAATAAATAGGAGATCGACATGCCACATGTCAGCAAAATACTCTTCCCCCACCACATACAGACACAAAATCTCGAGGCAATTTTAAAAAAGGCATCAGGATACTCTTTTCTGCAGCTGCTTTTTAAAGTTTTTATTCATTTAGAAAAATTTTATGGCTGTCCAGGTCCTGCCTTACAGAAATAAAACCCCAACACCAATAAATCCCCAATCAATAAATAAAGTTGTTAAACATTGGCAAAGAAAGAGAGAGAGAGAGAGAGAGAGAGAGAGAGAGAGAGAGAGAGAGAGAGAGAGAGAGAGAGAGAGAGAGAGAGAGAAGAATGGGGACAGAATTTCAGAGAACTTCTGAAAATTAAGATCCCATGAAATTGCCTTCAGATTTTTGCATGCTGGTCTGTGATTGTAATAAATATTTGACTGGATTCAATTTGACCCAGGGCTTGCACCCACCAAGGGCCCTTGTCCCTTTCCCCAGGGATCAACCCTGAACCTTCTTTATTTGGCGAACTTCCCAAAGCTTCCTGCAGCCATCCCACACCCAGATCCTTTGAGGATTTTTGAATTGGTCCCTTAAGGGTGTACAACCCTGGGGGGGGGGAATTTTCTGCCTCTGAGGTCACAACAATTGTGCAGAAGACCCAGTCCGTGAGGAACAATGCAATCTGATTTCCTAAATTCTGGTTGGGTTTTTTTCCCCCCAAGTTCCCATCACACAACAGAGATGCCCATGTTTCCATGACAACCTGCAAGTGCAATTGGTGTTTAAGAAGTTAATCCAAGTTATTTCTGTGTTTGGGGGGGCAGGTGTTGAGCTGTGTGGAAAGTTCATTGCGTATCTCAGGCTCTTGAGAAGCTACACGTCCGATGTGGCTCATTTGGCACTCAAAAAAGCTTTCAGCGGTGGAGTCGGTTTCAAATTTGGACCAATTATCTTTATTCCCGTATATATCCACCCTGTACCTCAGGGACTTTCTCACATAGCATAATAAAGACCCTCTGAAATCAGAGTGGAAGATTTGCACGTCCAGAGCGTGCAAAATTCTGTCCAGGAATTCCAAATTTCACGACTGAAATCCAGCCTTCCTAGGCTGATGGTTTTGGAGACCAACTCTAGGAGCCAAAGAGGCGTTCTTGGTCCATCAAGTTGCCTCACTGAGCACCTTTTAGGGGCTTCTACCCGAGCAGACCCCGTCTCTTACTGCTGAGTGGTGCAGCAGAGCGGATGGAATGGAGACAACAAAGGAAAAAAAAACTTGATTTAGGTCTTTCCTTCTGTCTTCAGTCGTGAATTGCTGCAGGCTTGAGTGAAAAGGAAGTTGAAGAAGAATTTCAGTGGACTTGCAGTGTGCTCCATCCCCGGAGGTTTTGAAGAAGAGACTGGACCGCCATTTGAGATGGCATTAAGGTCTCCTGGCTTGGGCAGGGGGTTGGACTAGAAGACCTCCGAGGTCCGTCCCAGCCCTGTGATTCTATGTTTTGCCTAGCAGCTGCCCATCAAAACAGGCAAGCCCAGGGTTTGGGGATGCGGTTGCTATAGCAACTGAGCATCCAACCCAGCTTCAGCCAAGTCTCCAGGACCACAATGTCGTTTCTTTCTTTTTCTTTTCCCAATGGGGAAGTCTCCTGCGGTCTCCTCTCCACCGCCCGCTTCTCTGCACGTGGGAACAAGATCCTGGCTATCTTCTTTGACCTTCCGAGCAGGAGGCCCTTTGGAAGACGGAAGCCCGAGTTCACAAAGAAACAGTGGCCTTTTCCGACGGTGCCGGCTTTCTGACAGGGTTCCCCGGAGGCTCTCAGATTTTGTGGCTAAAGGCAGATCCTGCCCAAAAGTGGTCCATTTTCTTCTCACAACATTGAGGTCCTTAAGGTCTGAAAACAGAATAACAGAGTTGGAGGGGACCTTGGAGGTCTTCTAGTCCAACCCCCTGCTCAAGCAGGAGACTCTATACTACTCTAGAAAAAATGGCTGTCCAGTCTCTTCTTACAAGCATCCAGGGATAGAGCTCCAGTTCCACTGATTAATTGTCCTCACTGTCAGGAAATTCCTCCTTAATTCCAGGTTGCTTCTCTCCTTGATTAGTTTCCATCTATTGTTTCTTGTCTTGCCTTCTGGTGCTTTGGAGAATAAGATTGACCCCCCTCTTCTCTATGACAGCCCCTCAAATATTGGAAGACTGCTATCATGTCACCCCTAGCTTTTTCCAGCAGGACCCTCTCTTTGCTCTTTCGCTGGAGAACTGGATAAGTCTCATTCTGCCTTTGCGGTGCAGCCACGATGCACCGCTCACAAGCCGGAGCGTGTCTGGTCTCCGTCAGGCATTCACAAAAGACGCGTTGAGAGGCCGTTTGTACCCTGGTGGTCTCAGGTTGCGCAACCCTGCATGAATAATAGAAGGCTTCCCTGCGCATCGCCAGGCAAATGAGAAGGGAGCTTTAGGTCCTTTCAAAAGCCGTCAGAAATCGGGATGCGGTTTGGGAGAAGCAGAGCAGCCATCAGAAGCTCGGTGATCCGTGTCTTACGAGCGAGCTACTGAAAAAGTCGTTAATGAATAATGATGGCGTACTCAAGACCAGCTTCCTTGCAATGCTTAATGGCTGGCTGGAATGCAGAATAAAAGAACAACACAGTTGGAAGGGACCTTGGAGGTCTTCTAATCCAACCTCCTGCTCAAGCAGGAAACCCTGAAGACAAATGGCTGGCCAGTCTCTTCTTAAAAACCTCCAGTGATGGAGCACCCAGTTTCTGGAGGGAAGCCGTTCCACTGGTTAATTGTTCTCACTTTCAGGAAAATCCTCCTTAGTTCCAGGTTGCTTCTCCCCTTGGTTAGTTTCCATCTGAAGCGAAAGATAGGGGAGACATGGTAGCATCTTCCAATATCTGAGAGCTGCCACGGAGAAGAGGGGGGGTCCACCGATTCCCCAAAGCTCCAGGGGGCAGGACAAGAAACAATGGATGGGAAATAATCAAGGAGAGAACCAGCCTGGAACTAAGGAGAAATATCCCGAGAGATTCATTTAAGGACCGTGTGGTTCATTAACAACTGCACTGATTTATTTAACACCCATGGCAAAAAAAAGGCCATGGGCTCCTTGCTGTCCAGGTAAGGCTAAACAGAGGCGGGGTGTACGAGGAACACAATCAGAAACCACCGATTAAGTCACAATAATTTATTATCCATTGCAGAAACATTCTTGTGCAAGATACACATAGTGCGTAGGAAAAGAAGCAAACAGCCTTTTAGGACAACGTTGCAAAATTCAGCCAAAGAGAAGGATAAACAATCTGAAAACAAGGCAGCCCTTTGTAATTCTTTGCATGTCATGCAATTGTTTTTAAAATAGTCAGATTTGAATCAGTAAAAAAAAAGAAGTAAACCAAACCAAAGCAAAAGTCGGCATCAAGGAATAATTCTTTATGCACTGATCAACCAGGTCGATAGAAAAAGTCCTCAGAGAGGCAAGAATTACTTAAGTATAAAAAAGCAACTTCGCATAGACACGAAATCCCTACAGAGAAAAACAGAAAAGTAAGTATTTTGTATTTTGGAAAATATTTGGCACTCTTCTGACAGGGTTACGGTATGTGTATGCACACTTCATTTGTTCATTTAATTGCACAGTAACAAAGAGAATCGACTTTACAGTAACGTATTTTTAAAAAGCAAAGATTGGTTCAACACAAGCTTTCATTTGCTAGGGAACATGTAAAAAAGCATGGCAAGTACTTTTAAAAAATCATTTCTTCCTTTTTCCTCATGAAATTACACTTCTCTATTTGCACCTGAGTGACTGAGCATTGCCGCAAATGTCAAATACCAGTTTTGGGGAAATAAATATAACCTTCTTCCTGCTTCAAACTTTCCCTTAAAAAAGTTCCTTACATTCCAGAGACTTCAAAAGGCAACCAGAATCAAATACGGTGTGTGTTTGTGTGTGTGTGCTTACAAACTGTCCTTTTGTCCCTCTTTTACCTTCGCAAAATCCAAGAATAAAGATATATATATATATATATATATATATATTTAAAAAATAGAAAGTACAGACCATGTTACATGCAAGCTGATGGAATATTTTTTGCAAGGTGTCATCATGTAAACAAGAACTCCCAGACGCTCTCTGCCCTCCACCCCAATTATTTCTCTTTTCAGAAGACTTTTTAAAAGTCCAACTTAGAAAACTGTAGTTTCTGGAGGGGGGGGGCAGGAATAAAAGGCTTCAGTTCAGCCTCTCAGCGGCTCTTTAAAAGGCATCTCGAATTGGATCCCAACGTGACACTGAAGGACTTCAAAAACCGACATCACTTTGTGCCTCTTTTTGTGCCCAAAAAAGTTCTTCCTCTCTTCATTTTTTGTAAAAAAAAAAATATGAATAATTTTTCCCATTCCTCTGCTGAAAGGTGAATTATTTTGTGCCCCTCATTTTTTTAACTCAGTGTCTCTGGGCAAGGCATGAATATATATATGTACATGCACATATTTTTAGACCCCTGGAGGTGGCTTTTCTGACATGTTTTTCAGTACGTCGTCAATTCGATCATCCTCAATAACGACTGGAAACAGAAGGGGAAAAAGAGGAAAGAAGAAAGAAAGATGAGTAAACCTCGTGATTGTTGCCTTTTGGTTTATTTTACTTCTTATTTTATTTTATATTTGTTATTTTAAGTGGCATTCGTTTTGCAACCACCATGTTTAAAGACAGCCGTAATTTGAGGATCACCTGTATCTACATTCGGGGTTCACCGTTCAGGCTAGGTAAGAAAGCGTAGTTTCACAAGACAGTCTGTGAGGGCGGGTTTGAGTTCTACCACAAACACCCACCCCAGGGAAGCTGTGTGTTGTGTGTTGTGGGAATCCAGTCAAACGGGGTGTCTGCTATAAGTCAAACACTCATTTTTTCTGTAACACAGAAGGCGGTGAAATTCTTCACAAACATGCACACATGAGGTTTTCACTCACTCACTCACTCATTCTCTCTCTCTCTCTCTCTCTCTCTCTCACACACACACACACACACACACACACACACAGGCCTACCTGGCACACAACACAATCCTGTTACTCAGGAAACATCAGTTTTGGTACCAAACCAGGTGAGTTTGATGCTATTTGGAGAGGTAGATTAAGACACAGTCAAGAATTCGATAGATCCCTTCAGATTCTTAAACGGGCATTTTCAAGGTCAACAAAAAGGAAGACACACACGGAGAGACACACAACAAGCAGGATCACAAAACCGACTTAGTGGCACCAGAAGAGTTTTCTAAAACCACAATGAGAAGGATGCTGGTGTAACCCTTAATTAAAGGCGGGATTTGTGAAAATGGATAGAAAATGGATAGACTACACACACACACACACACACACACACACACACACACACACACACACATACTTTTGTTGTTGTTTACTAACACAAAATTTGGTCTCAAAGGCTGCCACTGTTTTTGAACCGGCCTTGGTCCTTCTGGTCAATGTTGGATTGACCCAGAAACCTCCCAATTTGGTGTCTCTGCGGATCAGCAGATGGCCACAAATGGAGCAGCCCAAACCCTTTGTGTTGTTGCGTTCCTCCCTCCCCTAACACACCGGCCTCCAAAGTTTGTGATCGCTCTGGTCCCACCTTGGGAGTGGTGGAGCCGCTCTGCTCTATCTTGACTTCTACCCGTCTGCCCACCCTCGGAAACTGTCCTCCACAGGTCTTCTGCAGCCACCATCGGTCCTCCTTAAAACGGGAGGCTGGGCCCCCGCTCGGAAGCCCCCCACCCGAGGAGGAGGGGATGATGGGCTTTCCGTTCGCGGGACGCATCGCCCAGGTTGGGTTGGGCGGGAGGGGGGCAATTCGGGGCAGGAGCCCCCCAGGGGGAAAGTCAACGCCAAGACCCCGGTCTGATTCTCCCTCCCGCTTCAAGCCCCCCGCCCTGCTGGCAAAGTTGCAGAGGGGCTTCTCGGGGGCGCGCCGCCCGCCCCCCTCCCCGCCGCTCTTACCGCACTTGCTGCGGCCGATCTGGGCCAGCTTGGGGGCTCGCTTGCCGCCGCCCCCCGCCCCGAAGCTGCTGGTCTCCTGCAGGCGGCAGGCGAAGGCCAGCGGCGCCCCCTCGCCCGACTCCCCGCGGGGGCTCAGCCGCACCTCCGACATCGCGGCTGCCCGGGCGGAGCGGAGCTGCCACCGGCCGAGCGAGCGAGCGAGCGATTGAAGCAGCCGGGCAGGGGCGCCCCTGGCTGAGCGACGCCCCCCGGGCAGGGCCGCCCCTCGCCCGCCGCCCTCCCCACGGGAGGAGGCTCTGTCCCCGCGGGCGCCGGGCGGAGAAGCGCTCGCTCCCCTTCGCTCCTTCCCTCCTTCCCTGAATCCGAATCGAGAAAGAAAGAAAGAAAGAAAGAAGTGCGATGAACGCCGGAGCCAGGCTTGGAGGCAAGTGGCAGGCGCGCACACACACACACACACGCGCACACACACACACACACACGCGGACCCCCGGACCCTCCTGCCTGGTTTCTTTTAGTTTTAACGTCAAGGTTTGCCCGCAACTCCCGCCTTTGAGCCCAGGTTTCCGCGAGGGCTTGCCATAAAACGAAGCGCAGGGGGGTCCTCGACTTAGGACCACAGCTGAGCCCAAGATTTCCACTTAAGGCAGTTAAGTGACTTTTGCCTCATTTTATTACCTTTCTTGCCACAGTGAATCGCTCTGGTTGTTAAGTTAGTCACCCGGTCGCTAAGTGAACCCGGCTTCTCCATTGACTTTGCTGGCTAGAAGGTTGCAAAGGGGGACCCTGGAGGTCTTCTAGTCTAACCCTCTGCTCAAGCAGGAGACCCTAGATCGTTTCAGAACAGCTTGCCTCTAGAAGTTGTGGGTGCTGCGTCACGGGAGGCTGTCCCGTTTCTTCCAGTGATGGAGCACCCACAACTTCTGGTGGCAAGCAGTTCCACTGGTTAGTTGTTAATTGTTCTGCCAGGAAATTTGTCCTTAGTTCCAGGTTGCTTCTCTCCTTGATGAGTTTCCACCCGTTGCTTCTCGTCCTGCCTTCGGATGCTTTGGAGAATAGGTGGACCCACCCTTTGTGGCAGCCCCTGAAACATGTCCCCCCTACTCCTTCTCTTCATTAAACTAGGCGTATCCAATTCTTGAGTATGGGTCCTGGCTGGTCAGCTGGAGGCAGCTGGGACCTTCACTGGTGCGCCAAGGAAACAGACGCCACGCCCTGGGTGGGGCGGGCAGAGAAATGGAGCTGGCCAGTCAGCGTCCTAGCCACTTTAGAATAGAACTGGACGGGACCTTGGAGGTCTTCTAGTCCAGCCCCCTGCTCAAGCAGGAGAACCTATACCATCTCAGACAGGTGAATGTCTAGTCCCTTCTTGAAAACCTCGTGATGGAGCACCCACGATTTCTGGTGGCAAGTTGTTCCACTGGTTGATTGTTCTCACTGTCAGGAAGTTTCTCCTTAATTCCAGGTCTTTTCTCTCTTTGATCAGTTTCCAGCCATTGTTTCTTGTCCTTCTCTCTGGTGCTTTGGAGAATAATTTGACCCCCTCCTCTTCTTTGTGGCAGCCCCTCAAATACGGCAACACTGCTGTCATGTCTCCCCTGTTTCTTCTTTTCTTTAGACTAGCCAAACCCAAGTCCCGCAGCCGTTCTTCATGTGTTTTAGTCTCCAGGTCTCTGATCATCTTAGTTGCTCTTCTCTGAATTTTTTCTTTGCTTTGCCAAGGTGCCTGCCCCAAGGGAAACTGGCGCGCCGAGGCAGCAGAGGAGACCAGAAGAACGAGGCTGCCCCCTAACGGTCCCCAGAGGAGACGGGAAGCAGAGAATCTCAGTCTCCACCTCCGTTCCTGCACAGGAGACAACAGCCCGTTCAGAAACTGCAACCAAATTAAGAGTTTTTAGTTTTGCGAAACGGGTGAAACGTTGAGGAGACGGGAGGCACATTCAGAAAGCATTAAACTAAATTTATTTTCCTTCTTTTCTGCCTCCTGTTGTGTGCGCACTTGCCGCTGTGTGTGATTGTGTGCTTGGGCTACCCAAGTTAGGTATTTAGGCCATTGGAAAGACATTCCGTTCCAGCATGACTTCTTCTCTCAAGGTTTGAAACTCCCAGGAAGCCTTGCCTGGCTGTCCGGGAACTTCCCACACAGCAGTGGTTCTCGCCTCCTTAAAAACTGGGGAAAAAAATATCCTTCCATCTCTTTCCTGACACTCGTATGATCCTTTGGAGGCAAAAACAGCCAAGGTTGCACTTGAAACAAGGGCAGTGCGGCCCCATTTTATTCTGGGAAATCGGAGTAAAAATAACATTCAGGGCCAAAGCATTAATAAATCAAAAAAGTGTGAACCCCACACAGCTCTAGAAACATGATCCCGGGAGTTCTCCAACAGGCAACCTCTAAAGATGATTTATTTACACGCACAAATAAGTGGAGAAGAACCTTCATTTTGGCATTTTTACCAAAGCCACAGCCGGCACTTCAATTCCAGAGCAGCATCGCTTGGCTTTGTCGGTCTGTGCAAAGAGCTAGAGCTAAGCCCCCATCTACTCATGAAACCCACTCCCCGTTTTACGCAACAATGCTCAAAACAGTTCCTAAAGGAGAGAGGGGGAAAGAGAGAGGGAGAGGGAGGGGGGAGGGAGGGAGGAAGGGAGAGAGAGAGAGAGAGAGAGAGAGAGAGAGAGAGAGAGAGAGAGAGAGAGAGAGAGAGCATCGCCCCTCAGCTGTTGTACAAAGGCACCACCCTGGCGATCAGCTGCCTGCAGATGGGGCAGTGAGGAGGGCTGGGTAGGGCCTCGTAACACTTCTGACAGGAACATACGTGGCCACACTCAAGGAAAACGCAGGTGCGGCTGTTGCTCAGGCAGACCACGCAGGTGCTGGCGGCATCCCCTCCGGCGGCGAGGCTCTCCAGCATCTGACGCATCCGCCGCTTCTCCCGGTGCCGCCGGTATTGTTTGTGCAGAACAAAGAGGAGGAGGGCGCAGGTGGCCAGCCCACAAAGGGTCGTCAGGACCTTCCAGAACCGGACGCTTGACTCCTGCCGCTGCAGCAGCGTCTCGAAGCCCAGGCTGCTGAGGTAGTAGCGCAGGCCCTGCTTGGGGGGCTGCAGCTTGATGGTACTATTGTCCAGGACCAGCTCGCCCACGCCGGTGAGGACCGCCCCGACGGTCAGCATCTCCTCAGTCTCCTTGATGCCTTTGGGCCGCTCTCCGCTGATGTAGTGGCCGATGACGTCGGTGAAGGACTGCACCGAGGGGTGGAATCTCTCGTAGACGGTCTCCAGGCTGAGCTCTGTAGCGGTCAGGGGCTTTAGGACCCTCACGGCCACGTCGGGGGGCCCCTCACTCCCCAGGGGCACCAGATCGAAAGGGACCGTGTTCGTCCTCTGGTGGATGATCTTTTCGTAGTTGTTCCTGGGGAAGTTTCATCCAGGATCAAAAACACCATCTCTGCACAATTTGTGGAGTGTCTTTTTTCTCTCTCCCTTCTCTCCTTTTATATAGGCTACAACAATCACACTAATGTTGTGGTACTCATCCAACTACTCTCCCGCTAGCAAGTTCCTATTTCCAAAATGTGGCGTGAGTGGACTTACCAGAAGTGGGTGGTTCGGTTCCACACCATCTTGTGCTCCTGAAGGGTCAGCCTCTGGACCACCCCCTTGCAGCTGTCCACAAATTGACTGCTGAGGCTTTCCTTGACTGAGCGCACCACACCTGATTGGGCAGGAGAGACCGGGCAGTGATCAATAACCGGAAGGATGGAGATGTTCACTGTGCAAAAGCCAGCAAGGATATGGGTGGATGGATTGCAGGCTAATCTTTTAGAGCAGTCCAACAGCCCTCCGGATGGGTGGAGCAGCTTCCAGGGATATTGAAGAGGTCACCAAAAGTTGAAGCCCCTCGCCATCTGAAGGAGCACCCAGGAGGGCGAATGGCCAGCAACCTTCCCGGTGGTCAAGCATCTGTAGACCTGTTTGGAGAATGCTTACAGTGGAAACCCTCATGAAAGATGGTGCAGAATAGGAGCCTACTCTGAAAGTGGAAATACACGATTACCTTGATAAACCCCACAGGAAGGGCATACCTTCTATCACCGCGTAGGGGACGCACTTCCCGGGGGCTTCCATCAACAGGGTCTTTAAATCCTGGTCCAGAGTGACTTTTTTAGCACCCTGGAGGAAGGAAGGAGAAAAACACACGTCACAACAGCAGCCTCTGAACCACGGCAGAGAGAGTACCTAGTTTTCAGACATCCCCAAATTGGCACAGATTGTGCTTTGCTGAGTGCCTTTTCTGGGCTCGCCTCCACGTGTTTAAAATATTGAAATTACTTTGTTTTTCTCTTGGGTGGCTTGATATTTTGAAGATTGCTGAATATGCATTGTTAACCTACCTATAAATCTCCATTTAAACAGTTCCTGTAGCTGCTCTGAAAAGTGGGAGTCAAGCCAGCAGGGCAGATGTTACAAAAACAAGCACAGGGATCTCAAAAAGGTGTCTTAAGCCAGGATCCAAGTAGCCACTCACCTTCAGACTGTCTGCAACTTTTGACTTATGTCTGTAGACGGCGTAGAGGATGGCGGTAACAGCCGAACTGGTTGCCATTAGGACAACCTCACCCATTGAAGGGTGGCTGGCGGAGTCCATGGTTGCGGCTTCCCTGTCCTAGGAAAAGAGAGACGGGTCAGCTCGGCTTTCCTCGCTCTTCAAACTGTCTGTATACAGGTAGTCCTCGAAGTTACAACGGCACTGAAAAACTCAGGACTGTCTTTCACACTTACGACCGTGGCAGCACCCCCAGGGTCACGTGACCGAAATTCAGACGCTTGGCAACTGGCTCGTATTTATGACGGCCACAATGTCCCCTTTTGCGACCTTCTGGCAAGCGAAGTCAAGGGGGAAGCCACTCAACCATCATGTTAAGAGCTGCAGTGGTTCGCTTAACAACTGTGGCAAGAAAGGTCGTTAAATGGGGCAAAACTCACTCAACAAATGTCTCGCTTAACAACAGAAATGGAGGGGTCCGTTGTGACTGTAAGTCATTACCTGGTCTTGTCTAATCTTCCTTAGCAGCAGCTCGGATGCAACCACCTACAAGTCCCGCCATAGCCATGAAAGCCGGCTGGGAGTCTTTAGGCCCGCTCCAGTGGCAGGGAGTTCCGCAGGCTGACGCCCAAAGGGTCCCGCCATTTCCCCGCCCGCCAGACACTTTCGGGGCGCCCCAGAAGAGGCTCAACGGCCCAAAGAGGGAGTCCCCCCCGTTTCCATAGCAAACCGCGGGGAAGGCCGATTACCTGCGTCCGTGCGCTTCGGCAGGCCACTTCCGGGTTGGAGCGGCGCTTGATGACGTCAAAGGGCCGCGTGTAAAGGCTTTTGCCATAGAGAATGTAAACACGGGGCTAGAAGGACCCGAAAGTGGGACGTCTGAGATCAGATATGGTCACTGCGGGCCCGTAGACTTTAGAAACGTGTAGAGGTGACTCTGCTTTCTCTGAAGAAGCTTCTTTTAAATCTCTTACTGCCGCCTGCATGGCCTACCTTGCAATGCTGTTGTAACTTTCGTCTTTCTGAGGTTTTTAAGGGGAACATGGGGGCTTGGAGCTTCATCCCAGCTACTTTTTCCTCCTCCTTTGCATTGCAAGCTAACAGTGGCCTAGATGGGGCTCCCACCTTCCTGGCCTACCTTGCAGGACTGGCGTCTTTTTTTTTTTTTTGCTCTCACCCACAGTTGCATCTCTGGCCTTTTGCATCTTCAACCCCCACCCTTAAATCTCCATTTTAATGCAGATTGAAATCCGAGATGGAGGAGGGCAAAATAAAGGCTCACCTGTGTATTTCGCACTCAGGACCTTGTGAGAAACAGAGAAGTTTAAAAATAAGGTCACAATTGATTAACAATAGAAGGATTAGCCAAGCCCTGCACGTAGGCACTAGATTTCAGGAGGCTTGGGTAGAAGACACACTTAACAAGACAAAAGGATGGCAGAGAGAAGTTCTGAACAATGTAACTGAGGGGGAGGGATGATGTATTCTGGCTAGGCGGATCGGA